TCCAACTGTTACAGAGAGGGGCAGTATCCACCCCAGAACCCCTAAACTCTGAACCCCAAACCTTCACACCCGAACATCCTGGCCCCATGTCCTAGACTCGAAGTCGTAAGCCCGAACCCACACCATGAAACTCACTTCGGAATACAGACTAGTAGCACCCAGTATTCCCTTACAGTTCTTGCCTAGTTGCAGTCTATGACACCAAACTTACATTCGAATTGATAAGGCCCTAAACCCTAAACCCTAAACCCCCCTAGATTAACATCCCGATCAAAAGCCTAAAAGATGCCATAGCAACCCTCTGCACGCACTCTTGAACGACTTGTGGTTCTACGGTTGATAGTATAAACCCTGCATTACCTTAAGGACCCTAAACTATTGGAATTATGGTATATTCCTTGTAATGGGTAGTGCAGGATTTACATCATCAACCGTGGTGCCTTACGCCACCTCCAAATCGCTAAACCCCAAGCCGTAAAACCCCAAAGCCAAAAGCCCTAGAAGCCCTGAACCCCTAACACCTGAACCCTAAACCCCGTAAAGCCCTAAATGCTCACACCCTGAAACCCTAAAAGCCCTGAACCCCTGACAACAATCTAAACCCCTGAACCCTAAAAGCCTTAATATGGGGGCCTCAATAATTACCATTATATCTGGGGGGTCCATATTATAGTATAGCATAATGGGCCCCAAAACCTTGTTCCAACTACTACTTAAAGGCTCATGGGACTTAGTAAGTCTGATGATAAGTAGGATATAATGAGGATAACCCCACTTAGGGGACTTATAACCCCAATAAATTATAACCTTCTTACTAAGTCCGATGATCGTCTAAGTAAGGCCCCTATATGAAAGCCTTAAGCTGCGCCTGCTTGTGCAGAAGCCCCTCGGATCCGAGAGGAGAAAGTGGGAGGGCCAAGATGTTCAGCAGCGATCGGTATGCCTGCGGCTTTAAGGTTCAGGGGTTTAGGGGTTTAGGGTTTAAAGGTTTAGGGTTCAGGGTCTTATATCTAGGCCCTCCCTGACCAATCCGCCTCGAAGTTCGTGCTGCAAGCATTTTTGCATGCTGTCTCGACTTGTTGTCTCTCGGTGCTTGCACACACACTGCTGGCTACCCTAGCACCCCCACGCATCCGCAGATGTGTCGTTGATGTTACCCTGCTATGTCGAGTTCACTCTTGTTTGCGTGAAAGAGATGTTTGCTCGGAACCACTTGCAATCAGGGGGGTGTTCCCCTCTTTCTCTTGCCACCGGCCTTTGGATTTGGGCCTAGGAGGCAGCACGCACAACAGCGAGGCAGCACGCGTGCCCGAGACAGCACGTTTGCAGATGATCTAGCGAAAGCCAGGGCACGCAGCCAGCCTTCTCAACCTGTGAAACCATTTGCACTCGGTGCTGGTCTCCATTCCTGCGCTGCGCAGGTGGCTGGCCTGCTGCATGCCACCTCGTCGTCTGAGCGTCGTCTCGGCGTGCGCGCCCTTGCACTGTGCGGAAGCGCGTCTTCCGAGGCAGCACGCAGTCGCCACAATCGAGGCAGCACGCATAAAATCAAGAGTGGCTTCGCGAAAGGATGGTTTAAGGGATTGCGCGGCCTTGCAAGGATAATTGCATTCCACCTCAGTAATTTGCTGTCGGATGTTTGCTAGCACACATCGGGCCCCAATCGGGTCAGGCGACACGCAGACAAATGAAACAACCCGCAATCACCGAGACAGCACGCTCGGGTCCGCAACGGATGTGAGGCAGCACGCAGAACGGGCGGGTATGCCTGAGGCAGCACGTTCACCTCAATCTCAACACGCAGGCCCCGCCTGTCCTTTTAAAATGATCAACTGCAGAGGAACGGAAATCCAGGCCTCGACTGGTTTCGAAGCTGGTTCGTGGACCCAAGCTCTCAAAGCAACAGCAATGTTTTTACAGGCTGAAAAGATGTAGGCAGAGACAGAGAAACTGCATGGCAAGGAAAGACATGTTCATCACATCTGCAGATGCATGGGGGTGCTAGGGTTCGAAGCACAGCCAACACTGCGTGTGCAACCGAGAGACAACAAGTCGAGACAGCATGCAAAAATGCTTGCAGCACGAACTTCGAGGCGGATTGGTCAGGGAGGGCCTAGATTATAGGGCTTACATACCCGTAGCCGGATGACCCCACCAAGATAAGTCATGCAAGAGGTCGGCTTGTTGGGCCTAAGGTCGGGCTCAGGGTTCGTGGCTTGGGGTTTAGAGGGTTCAGCTGTGGAAATGAGGCTTCAAGCTTCAGAGTAGAGCTGCATGGGGGGGGGGGGGGGGGCGTGTCCTATAGGGATACTATCATGCAGGGTACTATAGGGGTGCAATATAGGGGGGCCTGTCTTACTTACCTAGACGAATTTGGGGTTCCGTATTTTAAGTACGGTATAATGGGTGCCAGAACCCTATTCCAATTATTACGCGCCTGTATTACTATAAGAAGACGAGAAGTGTCACGAGAAGTGGAACCCAAAACCCTACACCCAAACCCTAAACCTTCGGCAGTCTAAACGCTGAAATCCACTTCCCAAACAACCTCAACCCCTGAACCTGAACAACCTCTGCCCTGAAGGAAGGGCGGAGCACACCCCAGAACAGACGAAGCTTGACAACAAGCACAGGAGTCAGACTTTTACCTGAGACACATCGGAGCCAGCTATACCCTAAAACCTAACCCCAAACCCTAAACACTCAATGCCGGTTTGCGCTTGGGGTGCTCAGGCTTGCGTGCAAGCGGGGCTGCAGGTGTAGGGTGTTATCATTGATCAAAATGAGGTAGGACCAGTTCTATCAGAATTATCAGCTTTGAGAGGATTGAAGATGTACTCTAGAGTCTTGCATAAGTAGAAAAGGGTAGTTGCGGGTTTTTGGTAGAATAATGTCCAGAACGTGGATGGTCACACTAAACCCTCAATTCTCTATGTTTGGCGTCCTGCTTTTTTGTGCCCGTAGCCTCTCATACACCTCAGCACAGACACGTATCCTCAAGCTTCGGCAGTCTTCTGGACCAGGCACGGGTCATTGGGGGTTTCGGATGGTTTGGAGTCATGGAGTGTCTGGTAGACATTTCGCGAGAATGAGCAGGATGCTATAACTATTAGGGCGACTACGCCTATCGCTGCATAAAACTCCAACTAAGGTTGACAGTGCCTACATTCTCAACTGCTCTAATTCATCTGACTCACCAGACCGCGAAAATCCGTGTTCGTTGTAGATGCGGGAGCCCTACAATGATCCCGCTTTCAGCACGGAACCCTACTTAGCACGGAGGCCCGCCAGGAAAGGAACAACGAAGGCATCTCCCACGCCGTGAGTTCATCACACGCGTCTATCCGCCGCAGACAGGTCGAGCGTTCCGTTCGGCTCCGTGCAGCGTTTCCGCCACTTCTGTCACGACTTCGTGGAAGCTCGGCCCACAGGTCCATTCCGTGCCCTTCTGGCATGCGCTGAGAGCGTTTCGCTTCTTTTTGTGCAGAGTCTATCTCTTCAAAAGGCACGGCTATTTGCCCTCATGGAGAAGGTCTCTAAGTTGCTTGGCAGATCGCTTTACATGGGTGGGCTGCGAAGAACCGGATGAAACCGGCAGTTCCTTGAGCACCGTCAAGAGGAACGGCCCACAGCTGTCGACTGGCTTCTAGGCTTCAGCGAACCCGCTACCAAAAACATTCCCGGCAACAGAAAAGAGCCCGAATGCAAGCAAGTGTTCCAAATTATACAGTACAAGCTGTGTACCGGCATGTTGCACCCTCCATGATGGCAACACAACCCTATGAATGCCTGACAGCAGCAAGTGATAAGGACCAAACTAGCAAGGAGACTAACCCTTGTGCAGACCATACTAACTACCCAGAATGAATACGAAACACACACAGACACACAGCAAGGTATCAAAGAACAAGCAGAGCAATAGACTCAGTGGCCAGAAGTAGGAAACAGATGAACATGATCAAGACCTCCTTGCCCCGCGCTAACCCCAGGGTTTAGGCTTTAAGGGTTGAAACCCTGAAGCGATCAAACCAAATCGACCCTAAACCCTCCACCCTGCGCTCTACCCCTCAGACTGAAACTGCTACAGAAGCCTAAATCCAATATAATATCGACAACCCCTCCAACCCCCGCCCCCCCCACCCCTCCAAAAGAACAAGTAACATAAACTAGGTCAACCCTGAATTCCTAACCTGAAACCCCAAACCCTAAACTTTACGCCCGAAAACATACCGTTGACACAAAACCCTAAAACCTAAATCCTATCCCGAAGCCCCAGCAACAGGTCTTTTTTCTTGTTTCGCACTGAGGGGCTGAGTAGCCTAGCCCCAAACAGGATAACCTGTTAAAATGTATATAGCAGGATTTTATGGTTACCCATAGGCTCCATACTAGTTCTTTCTTGGGATTACCTCAAAGGATCCTGAATATAAACCACAAAAAGGAACTACTGTGGAGCCTGTGGGTAAAGGTTATCTATGCAGCCGCTAAACACAAAACCCTGGACCCTAAACCTTAAACTCTAAACCCGACCCTAAACCCTAAACCCTTATAGTGCCTCTATAGATCCCTTAAAGGGACCCCTTAAAGGAACCCCAATTACTAAGTCCCATGATCCTTTAAGTACACCCTGATAGACTAGGATACCCAGTAACCCAAGAATAAAAAGGCCTCTCTTTTTGGTATTGGGTAACTTTATAAGGAGCCTAGGACTACAAAAAGGGAATAAGAATACTACTGGGCATCCTAGTAGACTCAGCCTCTCAGGGGCCAAAGCGCGCCTTGGAGAGGCGGGGCCCCGTCTCTGGGCCCAAGTCGGCCTGACCCAGGCCGTGCTCCTGATTCGGGGAGTTTTTTTTTTTTTTTGAACTCCTTTTTACATCTGCCTGACCATCCCAAGCTGACATAAGGCGCCTATGCGCCAGGAGACCTGCGACTGTACTGCAGGTAAAAACCTCAACCCTCTCATCACCAGGTCACAGGGCAAGTCAGAGCGAGCTGGTTCAGTCGTCCGTGTCCCTCATCGTAGGCGGTGCTTGATCCCTAGCCCTCTTTTCCCTGTCATAGAACAGCTTGCCGTCCATGTAGGTCAGGTGTTCCACTTGGATGGCTTCCAAGACCGAAGGCCCAAAGTCCTTAACAACCATTGCACTTGTGATCTCCCCGTCACGCCAGCGATGATAAAGTGCCTGCAGGCTGTCAGGAGACAAAGCCGAAACCTGGTCCCACGTTGAGCTCCTGGATTTCCCCGTCTCCTCAAGGCAAGCATCTTGGACCGGGAGAGTAGCAGGTGTCGACGGTCCTGTGTCCGACATTGACGAGAGCCCCACCTGCACCCTGAGCTCCATTGACACCGGGCGGTCTTCAGGGAGGGGAACTTCCATCTGCATTGGTTCACCCTCTCCTTGCACTCCAAGCGAGATCTTCAGCACCTTCCTGGAGCGAGTCAAAGGTGGCTTGTGCATCTCATCGTACAAAGCCCAGTCGTCCCAAGCTTTGGCCATGGCCGTCTCGTGCGCCTGCAGCATGTCCCTGGCATAGTCGTTCTCCTTGGCCTCCTCAGCTTCATGAGCGGCCTGCTCCGCCTCCAACTCTGCATGCCTCTTGCGCATATCCGCTTCGTACTGAGAGGCAAGCTCGGCCAGGGCATTGTCATCCAGGCTGTCTTCCTCCATTTGCACCATCCATTGCGGTTTCGGTGGTGGCGGGCCCTTCGGTGGTTCACCAGGTAGTAGGGGAGCAGGTTCATCTCCATCACTTTCCCCCTCAGGCAAGGGCTTCATGAAGAGCACCGGTGGAGGATGGTCAACCTGGAGGCGCCCTTGAGCAGCAAGGGATCCTGGCTGTGTCGGGAGGAAGACAACCAATTCATCCCACCATTCCCAGCACCACGTGGAGCAGGGATATACTTCGGACCCACTCTCCTCGACTTCCGCAGCGTCTGCCTCAGCAGCCGCGAGAAGTGCCACCAGGTCTCCTGGCCGCCCCTGGAGGTGCCCCAGGAGGTAACCCTTCGAGACATCCACACTCCTGTGATGCAGCTTGCTTCGTATCCATCGAAGGTTCGCCAACAGTGCTCCTTTGGTTTGGCTGCACATTGCCTCTTGAAGTTTGGCAAGCAGCTCCACCCAACTCGACTGAACCCTTGTTTCCCTGTCCATGTCCAGGGCCTTCTGCATGAAACCAGCCTCATCTTCTTCCTCGTCCACCGGGACTTCCACCTCAACCTCGGGGCTCCCTGCATGTCCATGGTGGCAGGCAACTTCAAGAATCGCCCCCACTGCAGACATCAGTGACTGCACCATTTGTGTGAAGCCCAATGTCAGTGTCAGCCTGTCCCGCACCGAGTGCTCCAAGATTCGGGGAGTTTAGGGTCTAGGGTTTAGGGGCTCCTGATTCGGGGAGTTTAAGGTTCCGTAAAGGATTCCTTGAACGGTTCCCGTAAGAAGGGCGCCTTAAAAGGGATCTATAGGGTAGAGTGTTTAGGGTTGTTGGGGGTGTTCGGTCTAGTACTTAGAGGCTCGGGGGGCTGAGTAAGTTCGGTTTTAAGCAGGGTTATACTTGGGGTAATTCCATTTAAGGTACTTTTAACCCTACTTATGGCCTCCAAGTAAGTAAGGGTTCCTTAATAGTCATGGGGTCCTTATAAAAGGGGATCTAGAGGGTTCAGGGTTTAGGGTCCTATTGGAGGTTCATGGGGCTGATTAAGTAAGCTTAAAACTTAAAAGCACCTTAGGTGGAGTTATATGTAAAATTAATTATTGTGGCTGTAGCTACCTCATTCATACCCCTAGGTACCAATGTCCCATGATCCTCGAAGTAAACCCCAAACCCTGAACCCCAGAGATCCGTTTCTGAAAGGGGCCCATCTTAAGAGGTCCCATGATCCTCTAAGTGGGGTGCAGGGCTTAATGCCTTCTGTGTTTGTTCATCAGATTCGGGGTTTTTGGGGTTTAAGGGTTTGGGGCTTTAGGGGGTTCGGGGATTGGGCTTCCTTGAAAAGGTTGTATAGGGATCTGAACCTTACACCAGAAAATGGACCCTTACGGGTATAAGCCCGGATCCTCCAACTCTTGGAAGAAGTCGGCGCTGGGAAACTCGAAGCCGACCTTGCTCGAGGGATCCCGGGCTTAAGGGTTTTTTGAAGTTTTGGATTTAGGGTTCAGGGTTTAGGGCTTATAGGGTTTAATTCGTAGGGTTCTAAACCCGAATCAATTCGACGTTCCATGGCGGTCTGTAGTAGTTTCTCTTGAGATAGAACTTAGCATTTGGGGTTTAGGAGAACTGGGCGCCTTAATGATTGGAATGGGGTTCTTGGGGTTTGGGGCGTGAAGCTGGAGCACTTGCCAACGACACTACACTTTGATCAAAGCAAGGTACTATTCATAACCCAGAATTCTATAGTTCTTGCTCCGAGCGGCTCTAGATCCCGCGGCAACAACTTTTAAACAGCAGGAGATAGGCTTCAGACGTAAGCTAGGGTCCAAGGGCTGCAGGTTTGGCTTCCTTATTCACCACAGCTTTCAGCAGCTGCGGTTCAGGGTTTTGGGTTTGGGGTTTGGGGCTTCGTTCTTAGGGCTTTAAGTTGAACTAATGTTTATAAGGGGGCGTAAGGACTAGCCCTTACCACTCGATCCGTCAAGCAGCATCGGCGCTGACGGTGACCTCGGCACACTGCATGACTCCGCTTCTCTTCCCTTCAAGTCAGAACGGGTGGGTAAGGTTTAGGTTTTGAGTTTTAGGCCGTACGGCTCAGAGTTTGAGGTAGGGTTTTGGGGTTTAAGTTTTAGGGTTCAGGGTTGAGGCTTTAGGATCTTCGGTGTAAGGGTGTAGGGTTTAGGGGGAAGACCGCATCGACCTCGAGAAGAATCGCTGCTCTCCGAATGTGGCAATCACGACACTGAAGCCTAGCTTTTGCAATCGGGGCGCAATCAAGATACTCTAGGGCTAACCAATCAGAACAGCCCTTGGGATATATTGTACTATGGAACCCCAAAGTGAACATGAGCAGCCATTTACATCCTGCGCCTCCGCCCCGGGGCGACCCACGGGTTCTTCAAAATAAGAGCCGGAACGGCATTGAGTCCCTAAGGGTCCATGTACCCAAAGAGTATATACTCTGGTCCCAAAGTACCTATATAGGGACGACTTTAAGGCCAATGTACATACTATAGGGAGTGGTATTCTATGGAAGCTTTAAACTACGACGTCAGAGCACCTCATTTAGCGGCTGTTGGGGTCAGGGTTTCAACCGCTCAGCCCTACTGAAAGCTCTGAAACCTAAACCCTTCACCCTAACCCCTAAACCTTCAATCCTACACCCTTCAAATAAGACTACTAAAAGCCCTAAACCCTAAACCTACGCCCTAAACCCTCAACCCTACGCCCCCAAACCCTAAACGCCTAAACCTTACCAAAAGCCCACCTTAGGAGCCTAACGCCCTGATATGAAAGTTGGGTCCAACGAACCAGGGCTCGTGCACGACGAACAGTCCAAGCAGACGATGCTGCATGGGGAAAGCTGCAATCTGTGAGGTTCCGAAAATTGAGGGCACCTGATTTTGGGGTCCTTTTGACAGGGATCCTACAATTTGGGGTACTATATTAGGTCCTCATTTTCCAAAACTCCCGTATGGAGAAAGTTCTCAATCCTGAGCTCAAGCCTTGAACCCCTAAAGCCTAAACCCAAAGCCCTACAGCCAAGTCTCTAAATCTCTCTCAGCCGTAAAGCCCTAAACCCTGAACTCCAACCCTACACCCTGTAAGCCTAAACCCTGAGCCCTGAAACCCGTCCCCCAAATCCCCCTAACCAAACCCTAAAGCCTAAAGCCCCTAAATTCTCAAAGTCTAGACCCTGAGCCACAAAAAGACTTCCCTAAATCTCCCTGAGCCGAATTCAAGCCCTAAACCCCGAATGCCTAAACTCTAAGCGATCAAACCAATCCCCTGAATCTCCCTAGCCCTACCTATAGTCTCCCTTGTAGTTCCTTTGGGGGTTTAACATACTTTATGATTAGGCTCTATTATAAGGCAATCCGAAAAAGCAACTACAATGGAGACTATAGGCAATTCCTACTTCTGTTACAATCCCAGACCATGAAAGCTCACGAACCCCCCCCCCCCCGGAGCCATTCATCCGAGCAACAATTTCCAGAGTTCGTTCCTTGCTTAAGGTTCAAGGGTCTACCTTAAGCCGGAATAACCTACCTTTTTAGGGTTCCTTGTTATGCATTCTTTATATAAGTCCTTAAAAAGGTAAGTTATTCCGGCTTAAGGTAGGGTTTAGGTTCGAGGTTCCAAGTTCTTAGAGCATTTCTGGCGGCGTCTTCTGGGATGTCCGTGGGGTTTGATTGGCTTTTCAGGGTCGGGTTTGTAGAGGCTTGCTACTGCTATTTGAGGTTTCGGATTACGGGGTGAAGCGGTGAGGGTCAGCATGAGTTTGCTGTGCTGGTTTACACGTTCAAGAGTTTAGTTGACGGAAGCTACAGGAGTCTGGGGTTTAGGGTGAAGAGCTTGGTGGGGAGGGGGAGGTTGAGGGCTCAGTGTTTTACGCGGGGGCTTTGGCATTTCAGGGGTAGAGGGTCTAAGGGTCAGGGTTTGTCTCTTGTAGCGTGCTAGGGCTTATAAAGGGCAAGGGCATGGGTGGGTTTAGGTGGTCTACCCTAAGGGTCCATGTGCTCTTAACAATTAGACTAGGGTTTTGGGGCACGTTGTACTCTAAGTATAATAAGGAACCCCTAAAATAATACAGATGAGCATTTAGGCTTACATAGTAGTCCTCTCGAATACCTACTAAGCTCTGGTTAGCTCTGGTTAGGCTTTGGAACTTTCGGCGTGCGCAATGGTGTCTTTATATCAGTCGTTCTAGAAGTGGGGTTTTAGGACTACCGGCACGGAATATTCATGTGCCCAGGCCTGGCTTACGGTTTAGGCTTGCACTGCATGGCCTAGTTTGGGTGTGGTTGATGGGCGTTTTGGGCTTAGGCACGGTAGGGTATACAGTAGAGCCGACTTCACATCAAGTTGGTGTCTTGGCTTCTATGAACCTTCTTTTCCTGTTCTGAGATCCAGAAGCATGGTTTCTTCTTAAAGGTACTCCGAGCTCACCTTCAACGCCGCATACCACCGCCACATGTTGCTGAGGAAGATGACGCGTGACGCGGAAATCCCACAAGACTCTCAATGCCCAGAGTGCCATCATGGTACCTTGCTATGTGGCAAAAGGATTGATGTCTGCAAAACCCTGTGAACACCGCCCACTTCAGTCTCATACACTACCAGTGAAGCTGCCTCTGCACCCCAACCGGTGCTCCCAGAAGTGGGCAGCTTGTCAACGCATGGAGGGTACTTCTTTCGGGCAGAGGACGAACAAAGATTACAAGATTCAGGTTGTCATCTAAGGGCCTTAGTAATTAGAGTAGGGTTTTGGGTATGTTGTCCTACAAAGATAGCATTCGTAATTATTCGGTAGGTCCTTATGTTCATGTGACAGCCACTGTCTTATAATCTTCGGCGGTCCCAACATCCCAGACACGAAATCGCACAGGCTGCTGAGCAAACGCAGAGCAACATGGGACCGATCCAGTACGCAACGGAAGTGATACAGTGGCCACAACAGGAAACACAACAATGCAACCTCGGCCACCACAAGCACACTCACATCATGCTGGCGTGAATGCTATCACTGTCGAAAGCCATGTACACCGAGCCTAAGAAGCAAGCTGTGCAAACCGTGGTGGCAGCAACAGCCAGCTTTTGGTGCGGAAGCTCGTGGAAGAAAGACACACAGCAAAAGATAAATCTGTCCCCGGCCTCTAGGTTTAGGGTTTTCAACGATGACCGGGCATATACACGACACACAGCCAAAGACAAATCTGTCACCAGCCTCAAACTCAAGTCTAAACCCTGATAACCTTGACAGATACACGACTACATGGGTAAGTAGCGGTGTGTCCGGACTGATGCCGGACCCACGTGCCCGTCCCCCCCAAGAAGCAGACATGGCCGTAAACTCTGTTAACCCCAGACCCTGTAATAACCCGAACGCTTACCCCCTACACCCTAAACCTTAACTATAATCACCCGAACACTGCAACACCAAACCCTATTAGCAGTCTCAGCTTCTTCCAGCACCTCCATGCTCTTGTTATCTCGCAAGCCCGCGCCCGTCGCGAGCAAGATCTTCGCGAAGCGCGGATCCCGGAGCATGCCACGAGAGAAAAGCACCTGGGTATGGGCGACACCCTGGACCGTAAAAAATCTCCTGCCTCTCAACCTATAAACGCCCGAAGTCGAAATCCACAAATCCTTATCCCCAAATCCTTACCTCTCACTTAACCTACCAAAACCTATTTTTTTGTAGACCTACAAAAAAAGGTAGGATTTTGGTAATTTAAGGTATGTTGCAGAACTATTGCTTACTCACTGTCCGAGAGTCCAAGACTACGGCCCTTTGAGGCCCAGGCGGAGCAGGGTACTTAGAGGATCATGGGACTTAGTAAGTAGGTTATAATTGGGGTTATAAGTCCCCTAAGTGGGGTTATCCCAATTAAACCCTACTTATAACCTTACTTACTAAGTCCCATGAGCCTTTAAGTAAGGATTGCTTCGAACGGGCTTGAGTTTAAGGTTTACTCATAGGCCCCATAGTAGTTCCTTTCTGGGATTCCGTTATATAGGACTCTGAATATGAATCCCCAAGAGGAGCTGCTAATCTGTTTAAGCATGGTAGGAAGAGTTCAATGCTTTGAAAGGTTACCTCCTCAGCTAACCTGTTTAGGTCTGCTTAAGCGTGGTAGGAATGCTTCCATCCCCCAAAGTTTACAGGTTAATATAGGGGCCTTATTAATTAAAAAAGGGTTTTGGGGCCACTATACTATAGATATAAAAAGGGCCACCGCCCCGCCAAAAAACAAACAACAACAATGAGTATTGGTAACTATTGTGGCCCCTATAGTACCTGCTCAGCTGGCAAAGCGTTGTACCAACGGTAGCCCGGCCAGGCAAGCAGGAGCAGGTGTTTATGAAACCTGGAAGACTCGAAACAAACCTTTGGACAGAAGCACTACACAGGGGCCCAAACAATTAGAGTAGAGTCGAATAGGGCTTTGGAGGTATATGATACCGCCGTTAACATGATAGGCACCCCTGGTTTCGCCTCGGCTTTCAATCTGTTACAACTCACCAATCGTCAACGAGGGCATCTGTCTAGGTCCGATGTCAAGTGTGGCGTCCCTCTAATCCGGAGCGCATCGCCTTGCCAGATCAGACGACTGTTGTTCAGTTGTAGGTGTTGGCGTACCAGTGGTGAGAGGCATTCTGCGAAGAAGAGTTTCGCCGCTCCAGACCTGCAGAAGGACGGACCCCTGAAAGGAGACGAACACCCAAACAACCTTACTAAACCTCAACCCTATCCTTTGAACCCGACTAAACCTCAACACTAACCCCGACACCACAGTTAATCGAGGTCCCTAAACCCAGCATCCCGCATGAAGCTTCTGCCAGCCCAAGCGCCACGAAATAGTAGGCCCAAGGCCTCAGCTCAAGGTTTAAGGATTCAGGGTTGAAGGTTTAGGCTTAGAGCTCAAGGTTCAGGCTGAGCCTTGCAAACCCTAAACCCTAAACCCTCTCGTGATCTGCTTTTTTGAGTGGAGTCCAACTGCCTCAGAAGGATTTTATGGTGGCTGTTCCAAGCCTTCAACAGTCGTTGACATATGGAAATGTCTGTCATCCCCTCGGAAAACTGAGGCCGGGAGTCGTCTTACTCTAGCGCAACCTATTGGAGGGTAGTGCGGACTAACAAACTTGTCGATAATTGAGAGCAGAATGCACAGTTGAGTTGGCTTTCAATTTAAGAACGGGTGTTCCAAGTCGCGCACGAAGAAGAACATCAGAGTTTCGCGACGATGCCCTGTTCAACTGAGGTCTCTTCAACTCTAGAGGGTGCAAAAAGAATCAATCCTTCGAAACCCACGGAAACCTAGAAAACCCCAAGCGAAAAAGCCTAAGCAAAACCTGAAGAAACCTAAAAATCAAAATTGCACAAGAGCGTCAAGCGATGACCGGATGAAATCCTCTCAGAATCCCGTGAAAGCCTCAAGTCTTCCGAAGCTCTTCTACACATGATGCAAACTGGTGTCCAGGTTCTTCAACTTCACGCCAAGAGGCCTGAGTCTGACGATGTCTCCTGCAGTGCGCACCACCTCGTTTGCAGGGGGCAAGCAAAGACTGCCAGACAAACCCTGCAACAGCCATGCTGCGAATAGCAGCACTTCTTGCAGTCCGTAATTATGGTAGCCCGTAGTATTGTACCGCTTTAGTAGCCGTTCACCTTCAACTACCATAGCCAACTTTATTGTAATATGATATTTAAAAAGACCCTACAAAAAATGGTTTTGGTAGCTGAAGGTATCAAAGAAGGAGAACCCTTAAGTAGGCATATAGTAACCCCTAGGGTCCCTATAAATTCCTTATATTAGGGTAGATAATAACCTACCAACAAAAAAGTAGGGCTTGGTAGTTTAAGGTATGGCATCGGAGAGCTGGCATCTCGAACTTGGAAACTTGAAGCCTGCATTACGGGTCAGGTTGGTAGAGGCTTTGGAGTTTAGGCCTTTAGGGTTTTTTTTTGGGGGTGTTAGCGGTTTAGGGGTTTAGGCTCTACGGGTCTAGGGAGTTCAGGTGTAGGCCGACTTCAAAATAAAATTCAGAGCCTAGACCCGAAAACCCTAAACCCTAAACCCTAAACCCTAAACCCTAAACCCTAAACCCTAGACCCGAACCTCAAAGCCTCAGCTCGAAAGAAGAAGGCCTGGAGGCCTCCCGGTGCCTTGGAAAAATCCACCTAAACCCAAACCAAGACAGGTCAGTACCCTAAACCCTAAATTAGGGTTTAGGGGTTTGGGGTTTAGGGTTTAGGGTTTAGGGTTTAGGGAACCCTAACCAAGCTTTGACTTAAACATCGGAAGAAGTGGTGCCTTAAATCGCCTAAGTAAGCCGGAAAACTGACATCCGCAAGCACTCGCCAAGGCCCTAAACTCTAACCCGCAAACCCTCAAGTTACAGAGCTCTATATACACTACCATGATGGAGTCAGGCCCCCATAACCATAATAGGGATGGTACCTAATCCCACAATGGCACTCTACATGGACCCCCTGCGTCCTAAACCCTAACCCCCAAACCCTCAATCCTAAACCCACCGCAAACCCTAAACCCTAAACCCCTAACCGAGCTGCTGCAGTGTCGACGCGCAGCTGGCCGCGGGCAAGGATCTGAAAGACTTCGCAGGCCTCATTTGGGAGTTTCCGAAAATAGGGGTACCTTATTTTGGGGATCCTTATAATAAGGATCCTACTATGTAAGGTGCTATTTTAGGGTCCCCTATTTTCGGAAACTCCCATTTTGCCATCTGGGTGGGGATCGAGGGTTCAGGGGCTCACCTAGGTATTTAACCAAGGTACCTCCCTAAACCCCAAATTCCTAAATCCTGAACCCGAACCCAGAGAGCCCAATACCCCTCCAATAAGGAATTTAGGGTTTAGGGTTTAGGATGTACTGAAACCATAATATGAAGCCCCTTGTTATTTTAGGGGTATATTGCTTAACTAAGGGGGTATTGGGCTCTCTGGGTGGGAGTCGAGGGTTTAGGGTCGAGGATTCAGGGGTTTACCTATGGGCCTTGATAGATGGGCGGTTGTCAAAATTAGGGCCCCTTTTGGGTCCTTAATTTAATACGGCACCTAATATTTAGGATACCCAAAAAGGGACCATAATTTTGACAACTACCCAGATAGGTAGAATGGGAATGGATGTGTGGGATGGAATTTCAGGCCAATGCCTCCGAACTTGCATCGGTTTTTTTCGGGGTGAGGTCTCGGGATCTGGTGCCTTTGTGTCTAGGGTTTGGCCGAAAGCTCAGGGTTCTGGGCAAAGCAGAGAGCAGCATGCTAAACTAGTCGATATTTCGGGTACAGTACCGGGCAGTTGGGGGGGTCTGACCCCAAACCCTGAACCACAACCCTCAACCCTAAGCCCCACTACCGTCAACACCGCTCTCTCTCTGTTTCTTTCGCCGGGGGTCGTCCAGCGCCTCAGCATCGGTGACTGCACCGGTGATCAGGATCCTTGGCCTCTGCCTTAGCTCACCCTCGAGCTATCTCTCGAGCTACAGTTGCCGAAAAAGTGGGTTTTTGGGTTACACCTGCAGTTATGGTTAGTTACTTGCTATATGTAGGAGCCCTAGGGTCTTGTAGGATCTCATAATTGCTCATCATCTCATACCACCAGGCTCGAAATAGCAAAAAGCCTTGCATAGCTTGATGTGGTCCGGTCGTTGGGCCGGCCCAAAGGTTTTGAATGAAATTCTGAGTCCTTAAAGCCTTACAGGGATATGGAACTGTGCGGACTGCCAAGCCTGAGAAGAGCCCGGTTGCAGATGGCTCGGTGCCCAGACGCTGTCCGCGTATCGGATCGCCTTCAATGGGACCTGCAAGCAGAAAAATTGGAGAACCAAGGGGCACTTACGCTAAGGGCCCATGTGAGTAGGGATCTATGCGGACTTAGGGTTTTGGGGTGTTTTCTATCCTTAAGGGTCCATGTGCACATACGGTATGTACATTGACCTTAAAGTAGTCCCTACATAGGTACTTGGGGGCCAAGGTATATACTATTTCGGAACATGGACACTTAGGGTTATACGGCTTGAAAGCGTTCTTCTTCGGAACTTGCAGGGGTAGGGGCTTATAAGGTTCCAGGGCTGGTTTAGGTTTTAACCGGTTTTGTAGCGTTTGGAGTAGACCGGAACGTTGGAAAGACCTAGCCCAACCCGAGTTAACTCCTTCGAAGCCTACCCCTAAAACCCCTAAACCCCTTGAATCCCTAAACCCAAACGCGAGCCCTTGAGGCATTGTTGTCAACCCCCTTTGCAAAAAAGGGGTGCACCTTGCAACGCTGAAGCATCGTCACGACCACCTGGCGTGCAGTCGCGGAGCAAACTGCTGTTGCAGAACCCCAAATGCTGTACTGTATGTCAACTTTCGAAAATACAAGCCCCGAACATTGAACATGATGAGCCGGGGTTGGCAAAACAGACCCTCAGGTTCACCTGTAAACCCGAGATTTACCGTACTCTGGGGGCCTTACTAATCTTAATGCGGGTTTGGGGCCCGTTATACTATAAATATCCCTTTGAATATCCTATCACAAGGAACCCCACCATAGTATAGGTAACTATTTAGGCCCCTATAGTAGACCCTAAACCCTAAACCCAATGGCTTACAGTCAGGAAAACCCGGCAAACCTGGAACCCGAAACCCTAAGATAGGGCCCAACAAAAAGCACAGAAGCAAAAATTAGGATAGGGATATCCCACATTAACCCCTTGTAACGAAGCCCAGTAAGGTGGGGATACGGTTTATGATATAAATCCTGCATTACCCATAATACGGAATGTACCATAATCCCCATAGTCTACGGTCCTTAAGGTAATGCAGGATTTGTATCATCAACCCTATCTCTATAAAATGCTTATGCTTGTGTCCTCTGGGGATCCCTAATAAGATTTGCTGCTCAGGGACCTCCTCCTTCTGCTCGGGCCGTCCGAAACGATGCATGGTCAGTGAGAGAAGCGCATCACCTGGGCTAGGGTTTAGGGTTTAGGGTTTTAGTGTTTAGGGCTAGGGGTTTAAGGGTTTAGGGTTCAGGAATTGAGGTTCAGGGCTTAGGGATGCTTCGTGTTTGAGGCCTGGGTTTGAGGTTTGAGGGTTTAGGGTTTGAGGTTTTAGGGTTTGGGGGTTGGGGTTCAGAGTTTAGGGATACCTCGTCTGATAAAGTGTCCAAGTGTGCGGTATGTTACTGAAGTAAGAAAAGTATACATCTTTGTATTCAGGATTTCTGAAAACAGTTGGACTAAGTTCTGACCCAGCTTCCTCTACTACCCCCTAGATTTCAGGCTTCGGGATTTGTTGTTCTGAATCCGTCGCCAATGCCTCGAGCACAAACCCTGCCCTGCGTCTCTAGAGATTTCGCCACTTACTATGCTCTGACTCCTGAACCCTGTGTCCATACGCCGACCACCCTCGCACGTCCTTCCCCTAAACCCTAAACCCAAAAAACCCCAAACCCTAACCCTAAAACCGGGCCGAGTGGCGTAGCCACATGTAGGCCTCTTTGACGTGCTCCATCCGGATGCCGTAGTTGGCCAAAATCCTTTGTTCAAGTTAGTCCCCCCAAGGGTCCAAAGGACCCAATAATTAGGTACTCGGTCTGAGGATAGTAGTTATGTAGGTTAGGATTTTGGAGAGTATACGATTATTAGGTACTTCGGTTGATGATATAAATCCTGCATGACTCATGATAAGGAATATACCATAATTCCCATATATTCCTTATTATGGGTAATGCAGGATTTATATCATCAACCGTTGGACCCTTGGGGGTGCAGCAGTGCAGCACGGACCCTCAAGCCGCCCCTAAACCCTAAACCTAGTGGTGAAGGCTCCCCACGTCTAAGGCAGATCCTGAAACCGAACAGCACCTAACCTCAGCTAAACCCAGAGCCTCCAAAACCCCTTAATTAAGGAATATACCTTGAAGTATAATAAGATCCCTAATATGCTAAAGTTGTGGCACTCCAAATTTGAACTTTCAGCGGCCGTGGTTTCGTCTTCACTCAGGCACCTTAGGATTCAGTGTAAGTCAAGATTGCCTCATCTTCAATCCCTATAAATAGGTAAAGTGTAAGCGGAGGTTGAGTGGTTGAGTGAAGTCTTAAGACACCTCAGAGATTGAAAAGAAAAAGCACGGTGCTGTATCAACGTTGAGCGACCTCCTGATCCCTAAACCCCAAATCCTAAATCCGATACCCTAAACCCAAACCATGAACCCGAACCATCATTCCTGAACTTGAACGCTAAACCCAAGCCCAGCAGAATGAAGGTCCGCACCGTAAAAGCATTTTGGTAGGGTATGAGGGCTGAGAACAGGATTGTACGAACAAATCGATTCTGGTAGCTTACCCCGAGGTTCCATGTACTCATGTGGTATATACACTGGCCTCTAAGTGGTCCCTATACTGGTACTTTGGGGCCAAAGTGTATACTAGTTGGGTACATGGACGCTTATACTATACCCTAAACCCTTATAGAGCCGTTATGGATCGCTTAAAGGAGCCTATGAGGCCTGATTTGGGTACATGGACCCTTACTTAAAGGCAAGGTTATAAGTAGGTTGTAGTTAGGATAACACCGCTTAGGGGACTCATAACCCCAGTTAGAACCTACTTACTAAGTCTCATGGTCCTCTAAGCAGGGTTAAGGTCTAACTTCGCCAAGAGGAGCTCAGGTCGCCCTTGATGGAAATTAGCCTTCTGAGTACTTAGAAGTCGATTGGACTTAGTAAGTAAGGTTCCTTAAAGGGCTCCTTAAATTTATCTGTACGGGTTAGGGATAAGGGTCTACTTGGTATACGTAGGGTATAATTAGGATACCCCCACTCGAAATACTTATAGCCCCAAGTATAAATCACTTACTAAGTCTCAAGATCCTCTGAGTATGGAGATGTGTAAGACGGGGATCTGGTAAGCTTGTAATGTCAAAATTTGGTTCCTCCTTGGAACGGACACCCTACTCCAAAAAAAACAGCTGCCAATATCGTGAGTCAATGTGTGTATGTATGTATGTGTATATCTGTGTACATATATATATATATACACATAGAGAGAGAGCGACAGAGAGAGGGTCTTTGAAGACTTCCATCATCAGCAAAGCGACTGCTTCTGCTGAGCTGTCCATACAGAGGGAATTTCTTCGATATCGTCGTCTGTCAGCTGGGTATAGCCGTCGCATACCAATGGTACCTGACGAGGTGGACTGAGTCTTTCTCTTCGCGCACACATGTTAGCTACTTGCGGATGACCTTCTTGCACGCTGATCATCTCATTGGCACTATGCGCGACAACAAGCCTGACCCCATCGTATGCTGATATTCCGAAACACCTACGATGCTACATCATACTATATCTTACTATACTTTGTCATACTAAGTCATACTATGTCAACAAATCCCCGGCGAAGAAAGCAAGCAATGGAGCCGCTGGCCATAACACCCGAACTCAAAGGCGGTAACCGAAGCTCGAAAGGGAAGGCACCGTGGCAAAAACATATAAGTAGCAGTTTCTTAGGGATTTTACAAACCAAAGAATAACAAAACTGTACTTTGCTGTTTCTTGGGGGTTATAATAACCAAAGATTAACAATCATTTCTAAGTAACCCTGAGCAAAAGGGAAGGCACCGTGGCAATGTTGTTCTTGAAAGCGGTCACAATCTCCCCTGCGCACCACCTGTCACAAAACCGGCAGACGGGAACAAACGACATGCATGCATCCATGCTTTTCAAACAGACTTACAGTAGAAGCCAGAAAGTTGGAATATGATTATCCTAACCCTTCTATGGTAAATTATAAGGTATCCTACCATGAAACCATATTCCAACTTTCTGGAGTTCCCTTTAATTCGAAACCCCTGATCAACCATAAGCCTCAGCCCCAATCCTCGAGGAAACTGAAGGGTTTCCGTACGACCCCAAGCCCTATCGGAGGTGGCATATCAATAATTCGTTTGGGTTGCCTAACCTATGGTTTTGGGGTTCCATTGGCTCTTTAGCTCCTTATTAAGTAGGGATTATCATCACCCCTGGCTCCTTAGCTCCTCCAATATCAGTGGTTAGTTGCTTTGGCGTTGTTGAGTTGGTAGGTGCGCGAGGATTTTCGGTTTAAGAGTCTCAGGTGAAGGGTTTCGCGACTTGAGACATACCGGCTTCCGTTTTCACCTAGGGGTACCTTGCCTGTCCTATATTACGTTTGTGAAGCATAACAACATATCGCTAAACCCCAAACTCTAAACCCCGAGCTATGGTTGCTAGCTGCCGTATCGAGGATTTCGGACGTTGTGGCTGTGGCTGAGCCTTAAGCATTTCTCTGGGAGTTCGAATCAGTATGCTTCAGGAAAACAGCCTTACATGGGTTCCAGCGCGGTAATAGGTAAGATAGAGTATCATTTCATCCCTTGCATCCGATGCTCTGCCTGCAGACCTTTCCACGTCTCCACCATCGTGCGATGATAAGACAGAAGCATACCCACCACTCTTTTTCTCTCTGCTGGTGTTGACTTGCCATGACGAGGATGATGGTTATGGCGGCAAGGACGGTGATGCTGCTGATGCAAATGAAAGCCATGATGATGACGACGCTGATGATGGTGATGACGATGACGACGGTGATGACGGTGATGATCATGATGACCACTGCCAGGATTCCCATGATGACGATAAGAATGACGATCGTGATGGTGGAAACTATGTGCAAGTTTAACTATTGCTCGTAAAACATCTTCCTACTGCACTGGTGCAATCCAGAGACCAGTAGCATTCCACAGGGCTTCTTACTGGAATTGTCCTCGAATCTACCCAGAAACTCCAACCATTCTCGGCTCGCCACATGCGCTTCAGTAGTTCTGGCGTCAGCACCACCACCACGCTCTTCCTTGGGTGTGGCGTTGGCGGAGAAGGGTGGGTGCCTTTTGAAACAGCTGCTTCTTAGAGGACCATGGGGCTTAGTAAGTAGGTTATAATTGGGGCTATAAGTGCCCTAAGTGGGGTTATCCTCATTATATCCTACTTATAACCTTACTTACTAAGTCCCACGAGCCTTTCAGTAGACCCTAAACCCTAAACCCCCATAGATCCTTTTAAGGATCCCTATAGATCCCCTTAAGGAGCCCTTCAAGAACCCTTACTAAGTCCCACGAGCCTTTAAGTTGTGCTACGAGCTAAAAACTGGCGATCGCCTTCTGCGCACTGGCAGAGGCGCTTGTAGGTTTAGAGCGCTACCTGTAGGCTCATACCCACCCTTTTTATAGGGCCCCAAAAAAGCACATAAGCAAAAATTAGGATAGGGATATCCCATATAAATCCCCTTATAATGAAGCCCTTTTGGGGTCCCTAATTTTAAGGTATCTGCTTTAGATACCACCGGTCCTAACCCGAAAACCAGTTAATTATCTAATTATCCTGAAAAAGGCGTAGGGTATGCCAGGAGCCTCTAGGTAAGGCTCCGGCAATTGAGGTCCTTCTGTTCTAGGGTTTTGAAAACGTTCCGGGCTTAAGCTCTCGAAGCAGGGCTTGGGCTTGCAAGGGAGCCGACTCTGGAATCGAAGTCAGAGGGTTCACTGAAGGTACAAAACCACTTATATAGGGTTTAGGGTTTGGGGTTCAGGGTTTAGGGCGAGTCACTAGTCATGAAGCTTCCTTTTCGAAGTCTGGGCGATGGAACGCCACCCTGCGCTTTCAGCAGCCGATTGTTGCTACAGGGCCCCTCTATTCCAGAGGAGGGCGGGGGGATGGCAGCGCCTATGTCCTGAACCCATCAGTTTTCTTGTCGGGTGTGGGTCTACTGTGAAACCCTAAACCCCCAACCCTAAGCCTTCAGCCCTAAACCGTCCACCTTCAACTCTAAACCCCCAGTGAGGGCCTCGAACAAGTTCCTACTTAACCCTAGACCCCCGAATAAACCCTGAACGCCAAGGCCACCGGCCCCCCCCCCCCCCCCCAAGTGCCTAACCCGAACAATGGCCGGACCGAGCCGCGTTGTGGCGCGGATCGTGTTGAAGATCAAATCCAGGTCCTGCGGCTTGAGGTTTAGGGTGGTATCGGGCTCCAAAGGAGAAATCCTCTACAGGCTTCAGAGAGTCTCGCAGAAATTGCTATAAACCCCCTAAAGCCAATGCAATGCTCAGCTTGATTGCCCAAGGGATGAAGGACGAAACTAAAAAGGCAGGCTGAAGGGGGCCACCATGATCGACAAGCCGGTGCGGACATTGAAGACTATGTTTGGGATGCAAGCGCATGGCCCAATAACACGGGAAGCGCATACTACTCCGATTCCGAAATCTTGCCACGCAGCTCGAGGCCAACGGCTAACGCCCCAATAACGAAAATCGAGCTGAGTTTCAGAGGGTCCAAGTCTACACAGCGTGGTGATAGCGCTGAGAATGTGGTAAGTAGTGAGACCGGACGAAATCCATGAACTTTACGCGGAACTCAGGATCATAGGTGATTACGATGAGGCTGACAGCACACCAGATGAATGCCGGTGTCAGCTGCAGTTGAGGGTTCTGCACCGTCGCAATACCCCAAAACCCTTAAAACAACATGGACCAGGATAATTCGAGCCCGGGTTTGATGTATTCCGAATAGGGCTTAAACCCTCAACTCGAAAACCTGCACAACAATCAGCCCCAAACCCTCGAACAGCCTAAACCCCAACCCCTAAAACCTTAGCTCAATCCTAGATCCCAGGATTGCGACGCGCTCTCCCCAACCTGCCATGTCCACCTGAAACCCTAGACCTGGCATAGCAAGGCAATGCGCATGAATAGAGGTGCGGCTTTGGGTTTAGGGTGGTTTAGAACTAGACCCACCAACTACCCTCTAGAGGATCCTGGGAACTTACTGCTTCGTTTCGGGATCTCTCGACAACTCCTGGCCTCGTGAGGTTTAGCGTCTGAGCCTTTTGGGTTTAGGATGGTTTCTTTCGGGTTTAGGATTTACCTTAATCCCCAATAGCCTACCTTTTTAAGGACTTAAAGAAATCATATTAGGGAACCGTAAAAGGTAGGTTCTTCGGGATCCAGGTAAGGGATGAGGGTTTAGGGTTTCGGGCTTTGGGTGCCTTGCTTTTGAAAGCATTCGCGAAGGCCACAACCGAATTTGAGGATCCAGGCCTAAAGCCCTAAACCCTAAACCCCTAAACCCTAACTCGAAACCCAAAATCCAGGCCTCCAGCTGATCCGAATCCAGGAAGACGTTGGTGGAGCTGTGCCTAAGACCAAGAGTTGACAGCAGGGTTTCTTCGGGGTTTATAGGGTGTCTTTCGGTTCTGTTTGCGGTTTTAGGGGTTTGGGAAGGGTTTAAGGTTCAGGAAGTGTATGCGGCAAGAGCCCTTGGGGCCCCTCGTAGTTTGGAGTACTCGTTTTGAGAACCTCTTCTCTCTCCCTCTCCCTCTCCCTCTCCCTCTCCCTCTCCCTCTCCCTCTCTCCCTCTCCCTCTCCCTCTCTCTCTCTCCCTCTCTCTCTCTCTCTCTCTCTCTCTCTCTCTCTCTCGCTCTCTCTCTCTCGCTCTCGCTCTCCCTCTCCCTCTCCCTCTCCCTCTCTCCCTCTCCCTCTCCCTCACTCTCTCTCTCTCTTCTCTCTCTCTCTCTCTCTCTCTCTCTCTCTCTCTCTCTCTCTCTCTCTCTCTCTCTCTCTCTCTCTCTCTCTCTCTCTCTCTCTCTCTCTCTCTCTCTCTCTCTCTCTCTATATTGTATATATATATATATATATATATATATATATATATATAGACCCACACCTCCTAAGCCCAAATCCCCAGCAAATTGTGCGAATGATATTCATGATAAGCCTGCTGCCAGCGCCGGTTCTGCGGTGCTCCGTACAATTTCCCTGTTTGCGGCGGTAGCTTAAGCACCCAGACCTTCCAAAATCCCTTAATTAAGGAATATACCCTAAATTATAGTAGGATCCCTATTATTATTTAAGGTATATTCCTTAATTAAGTGATTTTGGAAGGTCTGTGCAGCTTTAGCTTAGGGCCGCAACGCAGCAAAGCAACCCAAACCACTATAGGCCTTCAGCCCTAAACTCTGAATTCAATCCAAGAGGCCGGGACACAAGGAGCTTGATCAATCGGCAAAGGCTGCCTGCCGAAACATGTCTGTGGGGGTAGGAGTTTCGAAGTTTAAGGCCCTGAAGGGTACAGGGAATAGAAGCTTCACTCGGAGATCTTTTGCGACGCCTTTGCACCAAGTCAACTGGTCGTATAGTACCTACAGGAATACGATCTCATGCTTTCGATCGAGCGGCGCAACCGGCTCAGCTGTGCGTGCATCGGCAATTGGAAACTCCTGGTTCTTATAGGCTTGCACGATCTCCCCGTAGTAGGTCCAACGCCCCATGCGCTCTTGTGGCATGGAGGCCGTCGGAGTTGGAGGAGCCGTTGTGTCAGACGTGCTGGCTGCTCCAGTGCTGCTACTTGGAGGGTAGGGCACGCCATGGAGCTCACCAAGATCATCTCGCCACGGAACATGAGCACTAGGGCCATCTCGATTCCGCACACGCTTTTCCAGAGACTGCCGACGATGAAGAAACGACTCAGCATCGTCGCGTGCCTGCAGGTCGCATCGGCGGCCGTTGTAACTCACCAAGCAATCTCGACACTCAAGGCAATCTTGTCGCAACTTTTCTGTCGAAGCCATGACAGCGCCAAGCTCTGCATCGTCCACTGGTCGACCGCCGTGGCTATCGCCAATGTTTGCATCGAAGCCCCTTTTCAGAAGCTCCTCCACCCCGACTCGGAAACCCGCACGCGCGGCGTAGTGAAGTGCCGTCTTTCCGGACTTGTCAGGGTTCAGCTCGGCGCTACGGCTCAGCGCCACGCGCATGGCCTGAACATCGCAGTTTTGACACGCAGTGCGAAGTGCTTGGTCCGCCCGCCGCCATCGCCGAGTCTCCTTTACCTCGACTGCTTCAGGCAACGGATGGGGCTCTTCTGGGCACGCATTTCCTTCTGCAGGCTCCATCTGTCCTCAATGCCCATGGCGGGCGCAAGCCGCTCTACTAAGTCCTAGTGTCTTGAAGACCTTGCATTTGTCAGCTTCCTTACTACATATATACCCTAAACCCTAAACCCTAAACCCTAAACCCCTAAACCCTAAACCGTATAGCCGTTTATCCAACCCCCAAGGCTGTGCCCATTCACGAACTAGTCAAGCTTTCAAGCCCCCTGGGCTTAGCTGAAACCTTGAAGCTGTCAGCTATCGCATGCTTTACCCCATAAAGCTGCTTCCCGGTCAATATGTATATATGGGGGTTTCCGAAAATAGGGGACCCTAATATAGTACCCCAAATAGTAGGATCCTTATTATAGGGACTCCAAAATAAGGTACCCCCAATTTTCTGAAACTCCCATATGTGTAAATATGCATATATACGTGTATATAGATGTAAACAGATCGGAGGCTCAGATACAAAGCATGTTTACAGTCAGGTCTGCGGCATATCTGTTCTTATATATTGACCAATGCCAGTGTATGTATATATGGGCATATATAATATATGTATATATATATATATATATATAGAGAGAGAGAGAGAGAGAGAGAGAATTTAACAAGTTTCCTGGGCAGAGGTCTGTAGTTAATTAACGCCTGTACAAGGACTCCGCGTTCGAGCCATTCGGACAAAGTCACCGAAGCAATCGACAGTTCAGGTCTCATTTTGAGGGGTCGGGGGACTTAGTAAGTAGGTAGTAAGTCTTACAAGTACCCTAAGAGGGCTCCTAATTGGGGTTATGATACTTATATAAGTCTCAAACTTACAGAGACTTTACTAGGTCCCCCGACCCTCCAAGCAGCCCTAAGCGTTAATTTTAAGCCCTTAAAACGCGAATCATTAAAACCCTGATAAACGTCCTTAGGTACTGCGGAACGGCTCAAGCCGTGGCTTCGTTAGCGTGCAGGCTGATTGCAACCGGGGCATCTGGACGAGCAACTTCGTTTAACACATCTATACACTCCCTGCGCAGTGCAGAACTCCAAGAAAAAGCCACACTTTGAATTCCTTCCGATTTGCCCCAGGAGCTTTATACGAACTGTGAGACAGTGCCAGAAACACACTGCTTTTACCTTTAAGTCGAAATGCTAAGCCCTCTAAGCTGACCCCAAGGGACCTAGGAAGTGTTATTGGGGGATACTTCCTCAAATCATAAAAAGTGATTCCTAATACGAACTCTACACTCTACTGTATAGGTACTTTGGACCCTTTGGGTGATAATGAAGACCTAAAGCGCACTTGTCCTGCAGCCGGCTCAGGCTTCTGCAGTTTAGGTGACCGGGTCTTTGGGCTACTCTCAATTTGGGAGTTTCCGAAAATAGGGGACCCTAATAAAGAACCCAAAGAGTAGGATCCTTATTGTAGGGACTCCCAAATCAGGTACCCCGAATTTTCGCAAACTCTACAGTAAACTCTAAAACCCTTTATGCAACCCGTATAGATGATCCCTAGTAGGATCCTTATTATAGGTACCCCCAGGGTCTTTGGGGGTTTGAAGCAGAGCTTCCGATGATAGGGGACCCTAATATACTACCAAGTGGACCCTAATATACTACCCCAAATAGTAGGATCCTTATCATAGGGACCCCCAAGTAAGGTAGGTACCCCTAGGGTCTTTGGGGGTTTGAAGCAGAGCTTCCGATAATAGGGGACCCTAATATACTACCCCAAGTGGACCCTAATATACCACCCCAACTAGTAGGATCCTTATCATAGGGAACCCCCAAATAAGGTAGGTACCCCTAGGGTCTTTGGGGGTTTTGAAGCAGAGCCTGCTCCACCCTTGTGGTGGCACAAGAAGATGCCGAACAGCATCTTTGGCATGTAGTAGCCTCGAGACGAGGCTTAGCTACCTTTAGCACCCCGGTTTAGGGTTTAGGGTTTCTAGCACCCCTAAGCCCTAAATCCAAAAGCTTAGGCTTATTAGTAGGTTTAGTTACCTTCAGGACCTTCCGGATGGCAAAGGCAAAGACTTGATGGATTTTGCTGTAGCGACGGCGAACCCTGCAACCGTAGATCACCAAATTCTTAAGTTTAGGAGCTGAGCAATGGAAAATTCACAGCCTCGGGCCACGTCTGGTAATGCAGGGGCATCCGCTTTAAACGCCTTGGGCCTTGGGGGTGTATTGCAGCATAATTCTAGGCTTCTGAGCAGCCCAAGTATATTAAGGGTAGCCTTCTTTCCTACTATTCGGTTTCAATAAGGGGGCACGACAAGACTATAACTCAGGAACCTAGTAATTAGACCCTACACCGCCATAGATCCCTTATACAACCCATTAAGATCCGTAAAGAACCCTAAACCCTCAGCCCTAAACAACCCTGAAAGGAACGCAGCAGAAGTGCAATAGGTAGCCTTTCGAAAAAGTGTTCATTAGCAGGTTGTCAGGCTTCTATACCTTGCGCATCATGGGACGTAGTAAATCAGGTTATAAGTACCTTAATCGGGGTTATAAGGAACTATAAACATAGTTACCTTATTTATAACCATGTTATTACTACGTCCCATGATCCTCTAAGTAGCCCTCATACTTGCAAGTAACTCCCAAACTTAAACCCAACAAACCTTCATGCCCCTCGACAACAAGCCCCAAAACCCCCAGATTCCTAAATCGTGAACCCTGCACCCTCAAAAAGCCTAAAGCCCCACAGAACCTGTCCGTAGGGCTGTGGGCTCTAGCGACTCTAGCGGCTCCAGAGCTTACGGTTGGCTTACAGCTCCGGGTTTTTCTTTACCTTAAACCCCAAACCGTGGGATTAGGGTGGAAGGCTTCGGGAATTGGGATTCCCCGGTGTTGGGGCTTTAGGGTTTACGGTTGAGGGTTTTGGTGCTGGGTTTAGGGTTGTGCGTTTTTCCAAGGGTAAAAGGAGGGACCCTTAATAAGGACCCCTAAGTATATACCCTTAATACAAAGCTATTATATATACCCATTATATAGCCCATTATAGGGTAGGGGTCCCCATTAAGGGTCCCTCCTTTTCCCCTTTGTGTTTTTGGAAGGGCTATAGGTCTAGGGCGATCTTCCGTCGTGTTTTCAGTTTAGGGCTTGGGGAGTTTAGGGCGTAGGGGTTGCAGGTCATGGGTCTTCTGCTTCCTTACCCCAAACTACCAAACCCTGCTTTTTGTAGGTTCTTATTCTATACCCTGATATGAAACTTCTAGGGACCCTACAAAAAGTTTGGTTTTTTGGGTCATCTGCTCACCGCCGCGCTCAGCCGAGGAGCGGTAAAACGTGAAGCCCAGAGCCACCGCCCCGGCAACGCCTTCGCGAGAACGTCACGGGGCTTAGGATTCATAGGGTTCCTCTGCACCTTTCCGTGCGGTGATGATGCTGATGAAACTGATACCAAAACTCTAATTAAGCCCTAAATCCATAAACCTATAAACCCTGAACCCAAAGCTCGGGACCGGGATTAGAGGAGTCTGGAACATGCAATCTGTGGCTTGACATGGGAGCTTCTCGAGAAGCAAGGGCTCTGGGGTTCGATCTTCGAGATGCCCTTCTGGACTTTGAAGTAACCAGACTTGTATTTTCGTAATGGTTCCTTAAACCCTAAACCCTAAATCCTAAACCCTAAACCCTAAATCCTAAACACTAAACCCTAAACCCTAAATCCTAAACCCTAAACCCCAAAACCTAAACCCTAAACCGAGTCCAACACAACGGTATTCAAGTCTGGTACTCTAGGACCCTTTTTGCAAGCCATAGTCGTTTTTGAAAAACACAACGTAATAGCCCTTTTCGGTAACTTAAGAGATCATAACTATGGTTTGGGGAAAGTCTTCCCCCTATACTCAACCCTAATCCCTAAACCCATAATACATAAGTTCCCCTTAGAATACTCAACCCTAAACCCTAAACCCATAATATATAAGTACTCAGGATCCCAGTGAAAACTCTGCAAGGGCGCACAGGGATTTAGCAGCCCCCTGCTCCCCAACATGGCAATGTACCTTACTTTAGGGTTTAGGGTTTAGGGTGTGTTAGGGTTTAGGGTTTAGGGTGTGTTAGGGTTTAGGGTTTAGGGTTTAGGGTGTGTTAGGGTTTAAGGATGTTTGAGGCTTAGGGTTTAGAGTTAAGGGCTTAGGCATGAGAGCTTTGGCCTAAAGTGGAAGCCACTGAGCGCTATCCTCTGAAAGCACAACTCCCAAACCCTGAACACACGCCTGGAAAGCCCAAGCCAAAACGCACTGTAGACCCACCAACAAAGCACAATCCGAAGCCGAAAAGCCTCGACACACCTTCCCTGGGCATCAAAATAGCTCAAGCCTTATATAGTATGGTCTTTGGGCCCAAAAGCCTTGATATATGAGTCCTTATAGATCCCTAAACCCTATAGATCCCTTTAAAGGACCCCTTGTAGATCCCTTTAAAGGACCCTATATATATATATATATATGAGTCCTTAGATGCCTAGGGTTCGAAAGCCAAGCTGCAGGGACCCAAGACTGCAAAGAACAATAGCCAGCCCAACAGCTCCTCAGTCGGCTTGCTTAAATGAAGGAGAAATTGAGGGATTAGGGAAGCTTTAAAGGATGTTAAGGAGTTCGGGTGTATGATGGTCTAGAGTTTTAGGATTCCGGGTGCGGGGTTCAGGGCTTTCCGGCATTGTTTTCAAGCTTTGTAGGGCGAAGATGTCCGGGGTTTAGGGCTGAACAGGTCGGCCGCCAGCGCTTTTTTCGAAGATGTCGCAGTTCAGAGCTTCAAGTTTAAGGCTGCGGGTTTCGGGCCCCGGACGCCTGCCGAGCCACACAAGCCCAAAGGGTCTTCAGTACCTGCATGGTAGAATACAGGGTTTCTATAATGGGAATTACTATTGAGGTTTGGGTGTCCTCCATTTAGGTACTTAAGACCCTTTGGGAAGGTATAGAGGGTTTAGGGCTCGTGATATTTGCAGAGCTTTGGGATCTATATAGGGGTTTGGGGCCCGGGGCCTCAAGTATCAGGATCTGGGCTTAATCTTTGGGGGAAGGGGTAAACGCACTCTTTTTCACGCCGCCCAGAACTCTAATATAGTGGCCTTAGTAATTAGAATAGGGTTTTGGGGCCCGCTATACCAAAGTAAGGCACCCCACAATATCATTGGTAATGAATCTAGGCCCAGATAGTGCTGAACCCCCATACATACTACTCCTTGTAGCAGTCCTTATAGACCCCCTTTCAAAGGAACCCTCCTTTTGGCGGACCTTGACCATACTGAACTCTCAGACCCCTAGTAAAATTGTAGTTGTGGCTGTCTCTTAGGGATTATTCTCCAAAAGCTAGAAATAATTTCTAAGTACCCCCGCATATATATATATATATATATAGATAGATATATATATATATATATATTGAACCCGAAACCCTTGTTTTGGATCCGAATTGTTTCTAAGTGCCCCTACTTAAAGGCTCATGGGACTTAGTAAGTAAGGTTATAAGTAGGATGTAATTAGGATAACCCCACTTAGGGGACTTATAACCCCAGCTATAACCTACTTACTAAGTCCCATGATCCTCTGAGTAAGTTTTTGGATTTAGGGTTTAGGGGTGCTAAAACCCTAAACCCTAAACCCGGTTTCATGATCCTCTAAGTAATCCAAGGCTCGGAGGACTTGTCCTTATCGATTTCCAGCAGAGGAGCTGCACCCAGCCTCGGAGGTGGGAGGCCAAAAGGGGGGGTTTAATTTACTAATTTTAAGGTTTAGGGTTTAGGGAAATAATTTCTTAGTGTAGGAATTCCTTAATATGAAGCCTATTTATGGGAACCCTAATCCCTACTAACCCCCCCTTTCAGCCTCCTATGACTCGGAGAGAGTGCAGTTGCATGTGCCTGTAAGCCGGCTTCGTCAAAATTCTACAGATCTTTACCAAGATTCTAAAAGCTTGAAATGGGTGTACATAGTTTCTACAGCTTTGGCGAGGGCTACATAGGTGGTTTACTTATCCTATGAGCTTGTTTTTTTCGTCAGGGGTCTGCTTACAGTAAACGGAACCGTGGACCCTGCGTTCAAATTGAGGGTCCAGGGTTCGGGCTTGGGGGATTAGGGTTTAGGGGTGCCGGCACCCTAGACCTCGACACCCTGCAAAATTAGGGTTTGGGATCTAGGTTTCAGGATGGTTTACAAGGCTTCAGGGTTTAAGTTGAGAGAAAGGAGCAGCACGATCTGAAGTAGGCAGGTCATGACCAAGTCCGCGAAGTTGGCGATCCTCAGTGACATGTTGTTCGACTTCCATGGCAAGATATGATACTTACACAAATTACAAAAAAGCACTACTGATGGGGACAAACACATACATGAATAGAAGGCCGGTATGCAGTATGCCTGGCGCATAAGTATTGCATACATATTGTGTAGACCGGCATCGCTTGTGGTGCGTGTGTATAGTGTGTATGTATGTGTGTATGTGTGTATGTATGTATGTACGTATGTATGTATGTATGTATGTGAACATATATATATATAGTAAGAAAGCAATAACAAGGTGCATAAACATGTGATAAATGTGTGTGTACGCATGTATGTCTGCATAACTGTCTGTATGTCTGCATGTCTGTATGCTTGTATGCCTGCATGCCTGCATGTTTGCATGTCTGTCTGTATGTATGCATGTATGTATGTATATAGCCTATGTATGAATGTCTGTATATATGTATCTAGGATTGATTGGGCCCTACAATGAAAGCCAACATTGCAAAACCCAACACTCCCGTCCGGGGTGCTGGTTCAAGTTTCCAACCCCGCAAGTCGGAGCAAGCCCAAAAAGTTGTTCCTCTGGTTGCTTGTGCACATATTATGTAGCACGATGCACAGGACAGAATTAGCAAGTTCTCAAATCTGCACCGCGAGCACCATACAGTAGAAGCCAAAAAGTTGGAAACCCCATAGCCTCAATCCTCAAGAGTAATGCAAGGGGAATCCCAGCACTATTTGGCCTTCATCCGGTTTCCAACTTTATGGGATTTACTGTACTGGTTGCGATGGTATCATAACCATCCAAGTATGTAGCAGAACAACGAATCGAAAAAAGGCCAACGCAACGGTTGATCCCCGTGTTTTCTTCTGTACAGGACTTGAAACATTCGGGCCACGCCACTCTGTACGCCATGGCCACGCGCGGATCTGCGTCAGAGCGGGCGGTGCGGGCTCGAGGTTTCGGACGTTGGGAGGGGGCGTTGCCTTACCATCCTACCCCCAACATGTAGCCTGAACCTAAATCCAAAGCCACAAGCACCCCAAGCTCTACCACCTACACGCCCAACCCAACATGCTGCACGATACATGTATGTATGTACATGCACATGTATGGATGCATGTATTACATCTTTTGCATATCTCAAGCCGGTATCACATCTCGTGACAGCCTTAGCCCAATCGAAAGAAAGAGTACATGAATTTCCATTAACCCCAGGAGCTCGTACTCACATACGCTAAGGGTCCGTGCGCACAAATGATACACACGCTGGCCCCCAAGCACTAATGGGGGAGACTACTGTAAGGCCAATGTATATACTGTATGAGCACATAGACACCAAGGGTTACAGGAACCGATATATGTGTACATACCTAGCTATGTACGTCCGGACGCAATCATGCGGGTATGTGTGCAAGAGCAGGAGAATGTACGTAATTATACGCGTGTGTACATACATGCACTGACGTTGACATTCTCACCTTGAAGACCGAATGACCCTTATAAGTAGGGGCCCCAAACCCTCAGACTGTAACCCCTAAGGTATGTGAACGTTAAACTTGTTTAGGGTTCATGTCGTCATTATAGACATTATTTACTACGATTAATTCTAATACATTATCATTGCTACGCTAGGCTCCTGAGTAGCCCCTTTACAATAAGGGCACCCTTGTTCCTACTATTTCGGCTTTAAAAAAGGGGCCCCTACAAAAAAAAAAGGCAAAAGGGTAGCACCCAGCAATCCAATATACTGTCATGAGTAGCCAGCCTGCATCGCTGCGGAGACGACGAAGATCCTCCGCTTTTGGCGTTAGATTCGGCTCTGGGTCGTCTAGTGGCTGAGCTAAGGTTTAGGGTTAGGAGTTTAGGGTTTAGGTTTGTGATTGAGGGTTTAGGGTGTAGGGTGTAGGGTTTGGGCTTCGGGTTTGGGGCTTAGGGGTTTAGGGTTTCGGATTTGTGGGCAGCAGCTGTTTGCAGGGCTGTCTTTCAGAAACTTTGCAGGGTTTCGAGACTGAATATGCATCGAAGAGCCGACGAGCCCCAACCCCCGGAACCTCGTCCCTAAGGCCCTAAGAGGGCCAGAAGACGCTGAATCGAATCCAGCAGAACCCCCTTAAAATCCTCAAAAGAGGGAAACCACGCTCCTTCTAGCTGAAGCCTACTAATACTTTGGTTCATCAAACAGCAATCCACCGAGGCCTTTACACAAGTATCGTGGAAACCTTCAGAGGCATTCGGTGGCTTTGAATACCCACACAATGGACCTGCACAAGGACATCACCTCTAGGGAGTAACCAGGATGGTAGGTCATGGAGTCATGCGCCCTGTTTCTTGGGTACGACCCCCCAAAACGGCAGGCTTGGGGATCTTCAGTGAGGGATTTCTTGAAGGATCATGGGGCTTAGTATGTAAGGTTATAAGTAGTTTATAATTAGGATAACCCCACTTAGGGGACTTATAACCCTATTTATAACCTTTCTGAGTCCCATGATCCTCTAAGTAGGGAAAGATCATGCTGCTGCCGAGATGCAGTCCCATCAGCACGACTTGTAAGCTGGGGACGGCAACGAAGAGCACTGGAAAGAGTGCCACCAGAGCATTCCGAACCAGCAAGACCTGGTGGGGTTCTCTGCAATTTGCTGCAAACGATAGGGTACAAGGAACCCCGGGAATAGCATGACCAACTAAGCCCTAAATCCCGAACCCCAAACCCTGAACCCAGAGAAAGCCTCCTGAAACCTAAATCCCAAATCCTAACCGGCCTAGCTAACCCTGAACCGGTACAAGGTGGCGAGGTCGAGGGTTCTTTCACCGCCACTGGCTTCCGGAAAGGAACGCACCTATAGTCTCCACTGTAGCTTGTCCTTTGGGTTACCTTATGGGATACTAGGATACTAGTTGCTAGATCTAAACGGGATTAATCCCGAAAAAGGAACCACACTGAAGACTGTAGGCAGGGCCTAGGGCCTAGGGCTCGTGTTGAAAGTTTAGGATTGAAGGCTTTTCTGACGAAGGACGGCTGTGTTGACTAAAGCAGTGTGTTGTTGCTGCATCTGTCATGTGACTGAACTCATTTAACACTATGGGTCCAATACCCAAATAGTATATACTTTGGCCCCAAAGTACCTATATAGGGACTACTTTAAGGTCAATGTAAATACTATACGAGCACATGGACACTTCGAGTAACACCACAGGGATATCCTCTGCCTGCAGGCAAAGCACATAAACAAGATCCTAAAGCCTCCAATCTCCAAGCTAATACAAGCCGTCCGGCAGAAGGCTACGGCACAAAACCAAGCGCATGCCCGAAACTGAGCTTGGGCTCCTAAGCCCTACCTGCTCCCTTTTTTCGGGTTCCTTATTATGATTGTTATTATGATTTCTTTATGAAAATCATAAAAAGGGTAGGCTATATGGGGTTAAGCTAAAACCTAAACTCGTGTAAGCCTTTACATCACCCTAAACACCTATAAACTCCTAAAGCCTACCTTCCTAAACTCCGAAACACCAAATCTCCGGAGCTTTTCCTCTTCTTGCCCTCCCCTTTGCAGCATCGCGGCCAAGCCGAAGTAGTAGCCTGCAGGGATCGCAAAACGGTTTCAGACAGTAGGTGTTATGGCTTTGGATCTTTGTAGTTTCAGGATTTGAGGGCTTTGAGGCTTATCCGGCTGGGAATTGTGGGCGGGCTTATGGGTTGGGGGTTTATTGTGGATTTTTGGGTCCTGAGGCGTACTTGTTACTTCAGTGCTTCAGGGCGTTGAGGGTATCGGAGTTCTGGAGTGTCTCTGGCTGATGGTCCAGATGCCCGAAAGCCTGCACCCAGCACCCGAAGCCCTAACCCGTACAGATTTTATGGCCCTATACACCGTAAACCTTGTACACCCTAAGTCCTACATTGACAAAAAACACCAAACACCTTTAACGGAGCCCATGAAGAAACCCTGAAGGAGCACTTACCGGAACCGAGTCGCACTCTGGCTTGAAGCGCTGGAAGAGGAAGCGGTGGCGATGTACCAGCTGAAGTCCGGCTCCAGAGTGAATTCTCGCAGGGTACATCACCTCAGATTCGAAGAACCCTCAACCCCAATGGTTTGAGGGCTTCAGGGCTTCAGGGCTTTAGGGGTTTAGGGTTTAGGTTTTAGGGTTTAGGGTTGAAGGTTTGGGGTTTAGGGTTTAGGGCAAACCCTCAAGCCAGGAATGCTAAGGAAAAGTACTTCTGACTTCTCGAGCTCCTATATTACAGTCCTCATGTCGCAGGAAGTATGGGACGTGGAAGGGTATGTTTCGCACTTGCTACGATCTTCTCATAGGCCTGGTTCGGACGATATTGTCTGGAAGCACTCATGGTGCTTCATACTACGTACTAGCCCAAAGGCCCTAAGGCTCAAACTGGCCCTAAAAGCTCTCTGTGGCTCTAGTCCATACAGCCTTAGGGTGAGAGGGGTATGTGCTTCGGCCTGGTGGTTTCCGTTGGCGCGACGTGCAGAAGGCCAGCAGGCAGTGAGAAACCATTTCTGAAAGTCAGCTGAGCTTTTTTACCTTGTCCAGCTTCGTGGGAGAAGTAACCGTCGCACATCAGGAACTCTTGCAATGGGGGCCAATAACTACGCTGCAAATCCAAAACCATCAGCAAGTGTATTCATAACAGGATTTCGGGTATAGGGCTTAAACATCCCCAGAGCAGGCTACTTGGGTTTGAACTGCTTTGCACCATGTAGCTGTGGTGTAGGTTGCCCACACGAGGATTGCGACCGGGTAACCTTTGCGGCACATCTCGCTGGCCAGGTTGATTTGTTGGTCTTGATTTATATGACAAAAGGGTAACCCAGTGCACTAGCCATCGACGCTTCGTTGACGTCCTTGCATGTACTACGACGATGTCCCGGGTGTGGTCGTCACTCGCAAACCATCTGGGTTGACAGTTGCATTGGGACCGTTTAAGCAGTGAAGAGCCCTCGGCCAATTCTACGGGGTTCAGGTTTACAGTCTTCAATGCTTGAAAAGGAACATAGCAGGGGCGCACAAAGCACCTGAACATCAAACGTTTTCGGGCAATATCTTCTACAGTTCAATCAGGTTGGTTTCAATAGCTCATGTTTTTTGTGCACTTTATCCCCAAGATAAGTGTCACCACTGAGTGCTTCGAATCAGGGAAGCTTTTTCGCGACAGGGCTATTGGAAACAGAAAAAGACTTTCTACTAGCGCCGAGGGAAAACAACCTCATTCCATAAAAGCAACCTCCAAGCTGTGGTATAACTGCCCCGTCCTTTCTGTCATGCCACGGTTTAGAAGCAACTACCCGTGGACGGGCTTCGTCCTCTGCTCTCTGCTCACTTCTCTCTCGTGTCCCAAGCAGCTACAGAATCCAGACTAACATAGCGGCCATGATAATTAGAAAAGGGTTTTGGGGACCAGTGTACTACAATTATGATAAGGACCCCCCCCCCCGCCTGCAACAAAAAGAAGATAGTACTGGTAATTATTTAAGCCCCCCCAAAATACGCCCAAATTCAAGCTTACCGAGAGGATCTGGCTCCACCAAAATCTGTAATCCGTCAAGTCTTCAGGCTCTGAGTTTTTATGGTTGATATAAATCCGGGGGTACCTTTAAAGGGCTCTATAAGGGTAGCTCTAAGGGATCTAAAGGGTATAGGGTCTAGGGTTGATGATATAAATCCTGCATTACCCATAAGAAGGAATATATAGGAATTATGGTCTACTCCTTATTATGGGTAATGCAGGATTTATATCATCAACCGTATGGGTGCTTGACCCCAAACTCTCAAGCTGTACCTTAACCCTGGATATCCTACCTTTTTAAGGTCTTGTATAAAGAAATCATAATAAGGAGCCCTAAAAAGGTAGGTTCTTCAGGGTTAAGGTAAAGCCCAACCTACAAGCCCTATACCTGGAGCCCGGCAGTATGTAGAAACATCGTGCATATGTTTTTTTTTAAGGTTTTGGGCCAAAATTTTGCCTCCCTTTGGGGGTCTAGGTAGACACTGAAAACCTGAACTCAAAGACTCTCGTTTGGAGAGGGCGAGCAGCAGATGATGCCAATGACTGCCAAGCCAATCCTGGGTCTCTTGGGACGACGGTTGGGGTTTGAGGTCTTCGGGTGTAGTAGGGCTAATAGAGCGGCCGTAATAATTAGAAAAGAAACGTTGTACTATAGTGATAAAAGGAATCCCCACAATAGTGTTGGTAATGCTTTAGGCTCGGAATCCTACACGAAGAACAAAACTAAGGCCGTAAAACGAGCCATAACAACCTGCTCCTACTTCGGCTTGCCATAACAATTCAGCCCCACAAGCAAGGAGCATGTAAATCTGGACCGCCAAAACCGGGCAAAACCCTAAACCCGACACCCTCGGAAACCGACATGCCTCATCTAGGGGCCTTATAGTATCCCTTAAAGGAAACCTTTAAAGGAACCCTAAGACCCTTATCTAGAATTATTGTTTAGGCCCCTTTAGTCCCAGTCTCAATGCAATGTGCTCATCAGATGCCCAGCAGATGATGCCAGGGTTGGAGGCCAGGGACCACCTCAAGCTGCGACTGTGGAGCCTCCTAGGGGCTTAGGGTTTAGTGTAGGGTTTAGGGTTTACGGTTTGGGGCTTAGTTTCAGGTTTAGGGTTTAGTTTAGGGTTTAGGGTTTACGGTTTGGGGCTTAGTTTCAGGTTTAGGGTTTAGTTTAGGGTTTAGGGTTTACGGTTTGGGGTTTAGTTTCAGGTTTAGGGTTTAGTTTAGGGTTTAGGGTTTACGGTTTGGAGTTTAGGGTTAGGGTTTAGTTTAGGGTTTAGGGTTTAGTTTAGGGACCACCTCAAGATGCTGGGTTCTTGTTAAAGGGATTTAGTTTTAGGTTACCATAGTAGGGATCTATAGGGCTCGTTTAGGGGATCTACAAGGCTTCCTTGAAGGGTATAGATAAGGGATTTAGTTTAAGCTACCAGAATAAGCACATATAGTAAACGATATGGGTGGTTGTCAAGATTATGGTCCCGTTTTGGGTGCCCTAAATAATAGGTGCCGTATTATAATAAGGACCCAAAAAAGGACCCTAATCTTGACAACCACCCAGATTAAGTGAAACCCCTTGGCAAGAACCCAGGATGCGACTGCTGAGCTTCCACAGCTTCCTGATCCCGCTAGGGCTTGGGGGTTTCGGCTGGGTCCGTGAGGCTGTTTGACGATTCAGGACACAAAAAGTACATTTAGGAAGGCTTTTGCAGTTTTGCTTCGGATTTTTGGGGGTTCAGAGCTTAGAGACCGACAAGACCATAAGAAGTTCGGGTTTGGGCTTCAGCCCACAATAGCACCGACGGAGCTCTGGCCCCGAACAGACGGTAAGGACACCAAGTTTGGGGTTCACTAGGAGGGTCGGGGGACTTAGTAACTATAATGGCTTCCTTAAGGGCCCCTTTAAAGGGATCTATAGGGATTCTATCAGGGTTTCAGGGGGGCTAGTAACTGGTTATTTTAAGGACTTAAAAGTACCATAACCCCAATTAGGGTCCCTTTTAGGGTACTTATAAGTCTACTTACTAGCTACTTACTAAGTCCCCCGACCCTCCAAGCAGGCTTTCGGGTTTAGGTTTTAGGGCTCCCAACTGCAAGAAGTGTGGAGGGACTGGCAGTGCCCCTAAACCCCGAAGGTGTGGCAGGAGTTTGGGATCCTACAGCTTATAATGCAGGAACATGGTCCTATAACACCAAAATAGAAAGAACTACGCCCAAGCCTTCTTGGTCAGGTTTCTGCATTAGCGTGAACTCCAGAAAGTCGGAACATGGACCACTGATCACATGGCCCAAGATTGCTACGAATCGTCGGGCAGCTTGAACACGTACAAGTCCCAACACTAAACCTAATCATGCAACCCTAACTTTCTGAACATTGAGCCCTTCTTTCACCGAGGTGCTGGTCGTTCGGATTTGGCAAGCACTGGAACGGAGTGAGCGCCGCCAGCGTCACCGTGATGAAGAACCTAGACAGCCAAGAGGCCACTTTGGTGTGTTTAGGGCTTTTGGTGGTCTTGGGCTTCGTTGCGTTTCGGGGATGTTGCCATGTTGGGTTTTGTTGTATTTTGGGATTTGCATTTTGGGGATGTAGGGCTTCCTTAACCTACGTTTTTAGGGTTCCTTATTTTGATTTCTTTGTACAAGTCCTTAAAAATGTATATAGGCTATTATATAGGTTCTTCGGGGTTAAGGTTTGGGCTTGGGCGCAGGAGGATGCCATCCTTCGATTTCAAACTTCTTTCGCCCCAGCCCCTGAACCCTGAAACCATGAATCCTGCTTAGACCCCCCCAGCTACCCTCGAATATACCCTACATACCCACGATTAAGGGCCATAAGCGCTCTGTTAATAGGGGCCTTCATGAAACTATAAATCCTGAACTGCAAACCTTCAGTCCTAAACGGCCGGCGTTGTCGCAAAGCTGGATTAACTCCAGTGTGAAGGAATTCGAGGCTCGGAAGAAGCTTCATACGGACAGGGTTGGAACCATGAGCTTCCGCTGAAGCAAGAGCCCCAACCACGCTTCGCGGATTCGGGGTCTTGGAGCTAGTCTTTCGGAGCCTTAAGAAATAGAGTGCGGTTTTGGACTACCGCTCCACCCTCCATGTTTGACAGCAGTCTATGGTGGAGGGCGTCGTGTCTGCTATTTCGCACTTCGGATTCACCCAGAGGACCCAATATCCCTTAATTAAGGAATATACCTTAAATCATATTAGGGGTCAAATTATAATTTAAGGTATATTCCTTAATTCAGGGGTATTGGGATCTCTGGGCATGGTCTGCAACTCGCAGGTTCCCTTGGGCTGGTGGGAGCAACTCGAAACAGCTCCGAAACATAAGGCCAGATCCCCTAATGCAGGCCTTAATGTTTAAAATAGGGTGTTGATGCCCATCATACCTTAGTCAAGACAAGGAACCCCCCAAATAGAACTGGTAATTATTTATTTAGGCACCCATTACAAGCTTGAGACCCAAAGGCCCTAGAAGCTTAGAGCCACCAACCCCCCCATCCCTCAACTAAAGCCTCATTCTAACGAGACCTAAACTGCTTCAGGGACTTTGTGTTGAGAGGAAGGTCGTAATTCCTAAGCTGAACTTAGAACCCTGAAGATAATTCTAAGTACCCTAAGATCTTTCAGCGGTTGTCTACACCGACAATTGGAGCAATCGACTTCGGCTGAATTTCAGGGTTGTGGCACAGCACTTTAAGGTGTCTTTGCTTGCCTTTGGTTAGTAGGGAATGGAGGAATGGAGTATAGTTACAACTACTATGACTACCATTCTTCCATTCCCTACTAACCAAAGGTATGCTTGGGCATCTTGGTGCGTCTTCGAGAGCATATCGGATGCTATTTAGGGTCCATTTCATAGCATTACCGTACAAGTTTGGGGACCTGAACAGGGACCCTTCGTCTAGAGAACTACCCATCTGTGTAGGAGATATAGTAGAAGCCAGAAAGTTGGAACATGGCTTTAGGAGGATTAGCGCTAGGATCCCTTGTACTTTACATTAAGGCCATGAGGATAATGATGTTCCAACTTTCTGGCTTCTACCATAGGGCTTTAAACCAGCATGGAAGGCTGGATAATGCTGGGACATGCGTCCTGGGTTGCAGGTACAGATCTTTGGGGGCTATGGACTGCAGCTAATGCAAAAACCTACGTCCAAACACCCTGAATCCAATGGTAAAAGGAGGGAACCTTTAATAAGGACCCCTAGGTCTATACCCTTAAAATAGCCATTATATACCCATTAGAATAGCCCACTATAGGGTAGGGGTCCCCATTAAGGGTCCCTCCGTTCCCCCTTTGACTGCATCTGGAGCCGAAGCATCCCTAAGCCATGAATCGTAACCTTCAACCCTAAACATCCCTAAGGCCTAGGGCGTAGAAGCGACAAATCCTGAAGCCCCAGAACCTTAGGCGACGCCGAGTTTGGAGGCCGCAAAAGATGGGAAGAAGGTAGGCAGGATCAAAGATCCCTGTATAAGGACCCTCGTTTTGGGATTACCACACCTACCTTCATCCCACCCTTACCCTAAACCCCAAACCCTAAACCCTAAACCCCAAACCCCAAACCCTAAACCCTAAACCCCAAACCCTAAACCCCAAACCCCAAACCCTAAACCCTAAACCCCAAACCCAAACCCTCAACCCTTGGAGCCCTTTGACGAGTCCGAGTGGCGCGAACATCATCACGCCGCAGAGGTTGAAGACCGAGTCCCAAGACATCTGCTTTCCCCTGTCGCTGTTGACTTAGGCGCCCTTAGACTAGAGCCACAATAAGAACAACTCTACATGCATACATACATATGTATCTATATATATATATACATATACATATACATATACATATATATATATATATATATATATACATGCGTGCATACATAGATATATAATTACACAAATAAAAGATATACACATGTGTGTATATATATGTATATATACATACATACATACATACATACACATATCGATGTACATGTGTTTAATGATGTGTGGGAGTTGTATGATGACACGCAAACTAATGCCCCAGGCACACTACAGTTGAAGGCTCACAAGGCTTACGGGTTTAGGGCTTCCGGGTCTGATTTGGGTTTCTAGAGCGCAAGGGTTCAGAGTAATGTAGGAACCTGATTAAGAAACCCTGGGCCCATGACCCCAAAACAGTAGCATTCATACAAGGAACCCTTATGAAGGTCCAAGGTACCTTAATCAGGTTCCTACATTAAACAGGGTCCTGGCTTTAAGCAGCTCACTCTGTAAGGGCAAGGTAGATACCTACACTGAACTTAGAACCCTAGCAAAAATTATGATTTTAGCTGTTTCTTAGAGATTATAATAACCAAAAGTTAAAAATGATTTCCAAGTACCCCTAAGATACCTAACAATCTCTCAACCGACAGATCAAAAGGCGCAGTAGCAAGTTGAGAGAACAAATACATATGGGAGTTTCCGAAATAAGGGGTACCTTACTGTGGGGTCCTTATAATAAGGATCCTACTATTTAGGGTACTATATTAGGGTCCCCTATTTTCGGAAACTCCCATATAGTAGGGGCTCCAGAGCATATAGCCCAAAGTAGGTGCCATTTAATAAGGGACTATGGACTGCAGACCCCTAGAAGTATGTAAAAATTTGGTGCAAAGTGCAACATGTGAGTGAGAATCAGGCCGGCTTCTGTTATGTAAGCCTACAGCTCTTCGGAATCTGATGGAACCCCTCTTACGAAATAGTAAAGCTAAAGCTGTAGTGCACAACATAAGGACCTTCAAACACAATCAGCATCCCTTTTTTTGGTGAAGGGGGTATTTTGTTATAGTAGGAACCCCTGTAATTAGGGCCCGAGTACATAAACAAGTATTGTGAGGACGCTGCTTTGAGCCAGGGTCGTGCTCGCCTCCATACCCTAAACCCTAAACCCTAAACCCTTGTTAAATGATATAGGCCCAGCCCTTAGGGTCCATGTCGGTGGTTGTCAAAATTAGGGTCCTTTTTGGGGTCCTTCATATAATACGGCACCTAGTATTTAGGGTACCCAAAGAGGGGCCATAATTTTGACAACCACCCAATGTATCCAAACAGTGTATACTTTGGCCTTAATGTAATCCCTATTTAGGTACTTTAGGGCCAAAGGTACATTATACTACGTGAGCCCATTGCCGCTTAGTGCAGCATAGGCCTTGGAACTCACCAAAAACCGTTCTGGGGTGTCAATGTTGGAGGCACCATACTGCAGATGACTTCTTAAGATTTCGGAAAAATCTGAACCTGCAACGGCAAACTACCTAACCTTGCAACCTTCTACGCATGTGCCTTCATACGATCCCGACGGTTTCTGTTGCAGAAAAGATGCAAAGCACCACAGGCAGTTCAAGCGAAAATACTGGACCTGCTGTTCTGTTGAGTCGCCGGTCTTATAAACTGTGAGGTAGAAGCAGCTCCCAAGAAGCACGCCAATATAGGGGCCTTATAATAATTGGCCTTATAATAATTGGAATAAGGTTTTGGGGTATCTTACACTTTATTATAATTGGGATAAGGAACCCCCGCAATAGTATAGGCAATTATTAAGGCCCCTATAGTACGCCCTCCACGGCACTGTGTTCTTAGGCGGCCGAAGCGTGCCCTGACCCGAAACCCCCGGACCCCACACGTGCTAATTACTGACCACCCCAGAGGTGTTCCACAACAACCCCTTTTGCCTCAGTTTGGCAAGCCCCCAAGCAAAGAGGATGATACCTGCTTTCAGTGAAGGATGTGCGAACTGGGCTGCGGGTACGAAAATTGGGGACGGCTTCAGGTTTAAAACTTTCAGTAGGCCCTAGTCTCACTCCGGCCTAGCCTCCTTCAACTCCTCACTACAACCTCGTTTGATTCCGCACCCTACAATGATCATGATTATGACGAGGACACGGCCTATTGCCAACTACGACCTTGCCTGCTACTGCTGCTGCTACTACCACCACCAACACTACTGGTAATACGATGACGACTCCTACTCCTACTCCAACTCCTATTCCTACTCCTCATCCTACTCCTCATCCTACTCCTCATCCTACTCCTCCTCCTACTACTCCTGCTACTACTACTCCTGCTGCTGCTACTACTACTACTACTAATACTAGTACTACTGCCACTACTACTACTACTACTACTACTACTACCACTACTACTACTACTACTACTACTACTACTACTACTACTACTACTACTACTACTACTACTACTACTACTACTACTACTACTACTACTACTACTACTACTACTACTACTGCTACTGCTACTGCTACTGCTACTACTACTACTACTGCTACTGCTACTGCTACTGCTACTGCTACTGCTACTGCTACTGCTACTGCTACTGCTACTGCTACTGCTACTGCTACTGCTACTGCTACTGCTACTACTACTGTTGCACAACTACCGCGGCCACGACTGCAGATAAACTACCAGTAAACGCTGCACTGATGAGCGACGTGTAGTGGCCGGCCACGGAGAGTGGTGTTGATGAAACTACACATGCTAGGTGGATGCTTTCAAGACCAAAGGGCTGGGAAATACTGCTACTGCCAGAATTCCCCTAAGGGTCCATGTGCCTAAATGGTATATACGTTGGCCTTAAAGTGGCCCCTATATAAATACTTTGGGGCCAAAGTGTATACATGTATAAAGTTTGGGTACAGGGAGCCTTAAAGTTCAATCTTCCAGACCTTCAGCCTTGTTACAAAACTGGAATGAACGGAACCCTCATCGCGACCCTTACAGGAACTGAACCCGCTATTTAAGAAAGGCTTGGAGGAGCCCTTATTCCCGTACGCCCGGAACCCTGAACCCAAAGCCCTGAGACGTCAATCCAAAACTTCACCCTTAAACCCCAACCCTAAAGCTTGCACCCTAAACCTACAAATTAAACCCCATTAAGCCCTAAGCTCTAGACAACCATATATTAAACCCCAAGCCTTTAAAACAAAAAACACATTAAACCCTAAGCCTTTAGACTAAATCCTGTCAAACCCTAAATTCCTACACCTATAAATCAAACCCTTTTAAATCCCAAGCCCTAAATCCACTCAATGCCAAAGAAAGCCAGGCTGCCGAAGCCGGCGGGACAGGCCAGCAGTTGGCTGACGAACTTCAAAACCGGGCTGTCCACTCCTCGTCTTGATGGGTTTAGCAAGATTTAGAGGAATTGCGGGGTCTGGGGTTGAGGATTTAGGGTTTAGGATCATTATGTTGGTGAATATATATATATATATATACATACATACATATGTACTTTTTTAGCGACTACTACTACTGCTACTAGTATCTGATCCGGCCCATACATCGAACGCCTCGAAAGCGCTTTTCAGAATTCGCAGCCTCACTTCAGCTGGGACTCCGTAGACGCAGGAGATGCGGATGATGTCGAAGTCGAAGGTGAGCAACCTGCCCACAAAGACAACCGCCAAAAGTCTCCGATCATGAGAGTCGAACAATACAGGGGCCTTGTCGTGGTCTTACTTAATACGGGTCGTTGTCAAAATTACGGTCCCATTTCGTGGTACCTTAAATATTAGGTGCCGTGTTATGTTAAGACCCGAAAAGGGACTATAATTTGGACAACCACCGATATATGAGCCAAACGGATTGAGTGCCGTGGATGCCCACGGCTCCAACCTGTATCAGCCCTATAGACCCAATGAGACCTAGAATCCGCACAACAAGCCCTACCGATAACCTAAAACAAGACCTACTTTTGTGTAGAGTCACTATAAATTCCATATTAAGGTTTATGATAAGAACCTACAAAAAAGTAGGGTTTAGTAGCTTAAAGTTAAAGTAAGCCCTCACCCTGGAAGCCCTAGAACATTCAACTGGCCGCAATCGAGCAGCTGGGTGAGTTGTATCAGGTCGTGCACGGGCGGCACCCAATTCACGGTGAGTTGCCGAATCGATCCGAGGGCTTGCACCGCCATAACCTTGGTTAGGGCCCAAAAAAAGCACATAATTAATCAGCAAAAATAAGGATAGCGATATCCCGGTATCCCATATAAACCCCCCGAGAATGAAGCCCAATAAGGTACGGTAGGGCCTATAAAAAGGCTTCTGCTTATTGTGTGCTTTTTGGGTCCCTAACTTGGGCTCTTCAACTTCAGGGCTTTACCTCCCTCTCCACAAACCCTAAATCCTCAAATCCTAAGTCTTTAGGGGGTTTAGGGTTTTGCAGATGAGTACACATGTCGTCTGTGCCCAGGAGCTGTAGAGCTGGAGCGCTTGAATGCGTTGTCAATGTTCGGTGCCGCGGCTTAAGGGAAGGGCTACGAAGTACCCCTTGAGTCACGTCGTGATTTGCTCAGCTCGCAAGGACACAGCTTAGCAAATAATGTACACATCGCTAAGCAGACTTGCGCAAAGCTTTTGTGAGCACTACAGAGACATATGCAGTTCTTTGTGTTTCCGCGAGTAAAAAGAGTGAGGCGCCGTGCGTTTGAATCACATGGTTGCCACCCCAATTCGATAATCTGATCGGCGAGAGCATCCTGCTCTCAGCAGGTTATGAGCGCCCAACCAACGCTGCCGTTGGTAAATGGGACAGGGCCTTTGACTAATGAAGACCGGGGCGATCAACCGCCCGGAGTGTTACAGGAACCTGGAACTGCGAGGGACGGCTCTCGGGCTGTGGGCGAACAAGGCAATGAGGAAGCGAGCTCTATGAGAGAAGGGGTCGCCTCTGCTACGCGACAGTCGAGGGATGTTGCCTCTACGTCCCCTGGAGATCTGACGAGGGAATCTGGACATGAGCGGGCCAGGCAAGAAGCTTTTCTGGCGACTCGTGAGGCAGACCCGGCGAGGACCTCCGGGATAGCACGTGGGGGCTCTACGACGCAGCCGCCATCGCAGGTGGGTTTTATGACGCCGAGATCTACGTTGTCGGCGCCGCCAGGACCAACCTGGTTGAACCAAGTAGAGATGCCTCGTTGGATGTCGAGGCTTGGGTCCTATCTCAGTCTGGGAACCCAGGGGGACCCTTTGATACCAAGCCCCTTGGTGGGGACGGTGTCACAGCATTCTTCGCCACCGGGAGGACCGAGCTTCGTGCTGAGGTCACCTGGGAGAAGGGAGAGGCCACCAAGGCCTCCGACTCCGAGTTCGTCGTCAATACCTGCAGAAGCGATTCAGCTGGAGGTTCAAAGACAGCTTGGGGGAATGCTTAGTAGACTTCAAGTTGCAGAGCTGGAGAACGAGCGTCTACGGCAGGAGCTAGAGTTTGCGAGAAGGGCAGAGTTACCGGAAGCTCGTGGTGCACCAGCACTGCCAGAGGCCGCTCCTCTCATCCTGGAGGAAGGGCCAGCGGCTTCAGTCGACAGAACTTTGTCGCGGGAGCTGATGGATGCCTTCATGACTCCAACCACAGCTGCTCCGGCACCTCGGGTAACCAGAATGGGAGACCCAGCTGGAAGTGTACCTATCTTTGGTGGTCCGGGATTATCTGAAGGTTCTAGAGGGCTTTGGGGAGATCTACTTTCAGCTCCATCAGGCCCCGGAGTATTAGAAGGGGATCCTACGACTTCGATGGGGTCTATGACTACACCAGCGGCACCTCAACCTCCAGTACCTCCTGTGCAGCAACCAGCAGATGGGTTTCTAAGAGGGTGGCTAGGCAATCGTGGAAGAAGCACATCACCTCCTCCGCCTCAGCCTCCTCAGCAACCTCCTGGGTCACCAGTCATAGATGCGCTTACCAAAAGTATACAGCAGCTTCAAGAACTACAAGCTCAAGCAATGGCAAGGGGAACCCCGATGCAATCTCATGAACAGGTCAAACCGGGGACTTTGTCATTGGCTCCGCTACCAGATCCACGTGGAGGATGTGACGCTGCGCTTCAGTTTCAGGATTGGATGGAAGTTGCGGGTTCGGTCCTGTCGGATGTTTCGGAGTTGAGCGGTCAGTGGTGGAAAGAAGTTGTTGCAAAGGTTGAAGGGACGTATGCAAAATGGCTGGCGGCGACACCGCTGGAGAGATTGAGTATAACACCGGCGGGTTCAGATGAGCTTGTTGGTGGAAGGTGGACAAGACTGAATGCCAGGGTCTCGTCAATGCTCCTTACAGCAATGGGGGAAGGGCTTCGTTCAGATATGGTTGCCCAGCGACTGACACAGGATGCGGTTTGCATGGTTTTCAGGCTCCACACTACTTTCCAACCGGGAGGGTCTGCAGAGCGACATGATGTTCTAAGAAGACTGCAGGCCCCACAGGACTTCGCCGCCACCGAGAGCTTGGAGGACACCTTGAAGGCGATCCGATCATGGCCACGATGGCTGGCCAGATGCAAGGCGGTCAACATGAGTCCGCCAGACGCTTCCGTTCTGGCGCGCGGCCTGATGGCAATGTCTGCCAAGCACATCAATGGCTCGCCTGACGCTGCGTTCCGGACAAGCATGCTGAGGACTTCGTTGAGGTTGGACGCGCAGCCCTCCATAGAGCAGGTAGCTGCGTATCAACGACACCTACAAGCCGAGCTAGAAACAATGGCTACCGCAGCAAGCTCAGGTGCTCAGGGACAACCTGGTGTTAGGGCCATCGAGAAGGTGACGTCGCCAAAGAGTGCCAAGGACAAGGGCGGGGCTGCCACTGACTTATGTCGCTACTTCCTCAAGCCGTCAGGATGTAAAAGGGGGTCGCGGTGCACCTACTCGCACTCAATGGCCTCTCTTGACCGGGAGACCCGGAATCGTAAGTGTCTCCAATGTGGGGCCGAGAGCCACAGACAGAAGGACTGCCCTCTTAAAGGAGGACCGAGAAGTACCTCTACGGCGGGTTCACCTACGGGAAAAGGGCAGCGACCTATGGAGGCGGAGACACCCACCGTCTCTACTATGACACCGTGCTCCACACCGGCTTCCACAATGTTGAGCTCTACGGCAACGGTGGCTGGAACCCCATGGACTCTGGAAGCACTTATGCAAGCGGCTCAGCAGGTCGTTCAGTCTCAGGGAAGCGAGAATCGTGAAGATCGTAGTCCAGAGAAGGTTAAGCCGGAGGTGAGGACTTTGGTGGTTAAAGATATCAAGATCTCCTCCTTGGGGCGACCGTCTTCAGCGCTTTTGGACTCAGGGGCCACTCACAGCCTTCGCAACGCTTACCACCTGGATGAATGGAACGGCGCAGAGGACGTGGTGGTGCAGCTAGCTGGGAAGAACCAGCTCACAATGAGGTTGTCGAGTGGAGGCACCCTTTTGATGCCACCGAGGACTGCAAGGGGATCTTCCTCGGCTGATGTTGAGGCCGGGAACACCATAGTCTCCATGGGCGAGCTGGTGCGAACACTGGGCTACACCTTGGAATGGGGTCCAGGTAGGTGCCTCCTGAGAAACTGCGAGGGCGAGGAGATTCCATTGGCTACTCACGGAGGGTGTCCTTACCTTTGTGAAGCGGAAGCGTTGTCCCTCATCTCGAGGCTCGAGGATCGTAAAAGGGAGCGATTGGAGAATGAGACCGCCACCACAGCGGACCGAGTCGAGATGGCGGCGATGAGAATGGACCGTCATTGGATGGACAATCTCAGGGCCTACACCGAGGACGGGTCAATGGACGCTGGAGTTAGATCCTTGAGAGACGCGACGTTTCTACAGCATCTTCCTGGGGAATGCCGAGACGGCCTACTACCAGCGAACTTACGTGAAGAAGGGTGGCGAATCATGAAGAATGTGAGCTTCCTTACCAGGGCGCAGAGAAGGTACCTCTGGGGAGCAAAGAGGTGGATCATCCACTTATGTGCTGGCCGGGAAGGTCACTATCAGTTCTTCCAACTGGACAGCGGGTCTACAGCAGTGATAGAGCTTGATCTGCAGCGATGCAAGGCCCACGATTTGATGAGTGACCCAGTGTGGAAGTTGCTAATGTGGGCAGCTGTGAATGGAAAGGTCGATGGAGTTATTGCAGGACCCCCAGGCCGAGGAGGACTTGGAAATCCAGGTCCAGCTGAACAACAAGGCGACTGTGACCTCAAGGCCTTGAAGCTGATTGCTCGTATGATGTGGTTATATGCAACAGCCACGGCGGCTCGGGAAAGCAGCGTGTCAGGCGGCAACCGTGGCCGCCCAGTTGCGTTCATGATGGAGCATCCGGCAAGGGAGGTGTGTTCGGGCGTCTCTGTTTGGGATTTGGCTGTGTGGGAGGAGTTCCAGAATGAGATGGGCATGAACCAGATCACCTTTGATCAAGGAGCAATGGGAGGCGAGTCGATCCGAACTACTTTGGCGACCAACGTCTACTATATGATGGGCTTGGACCAGTTGGGATTGGAGGAAGGTCAAAGTTCCGGATCAATGAGCAATACCACGGGAGTTTGGAGCCCTGGATTGGTGAACGCGATGGTTCTCGCTTTGAGGTTTTGGAGTCACTCCCCAAGGTTGGCGCCCAGTATGCGGGCATTGAGTGCTGAGCAGTGGAAACGGCATGTTCAGTCCAACCACCTGGACTACCAGAAGGATTGCCTCACCTGTGTAATGGGCCGGGGAACAGGGCGACGACATGCTCGAGTTCGACATCCAGATATGTTTACGTTGACAGTGGACGTTGCTGGACCGGTCAAGCCAGGCTTGGATGTATCTTCAAAGGGGACAATGGGAAAGGGATTGCGCTACATGATGGTGGCAAAGTACACGTTCCCGAAAGAGTATGTGAAGGGCTACACCGGTCGTGAACCACCACAAGATCATGGGTTGGGTGAAGAATGGCAACAGCGACAAGATGGTGTTCAAGTAGAGCCTCAGCTTGACAAGGAAATCGCAGAACCTTCTCTACCACAACCACACGATGGAGGGGGCAACCAACAGCGACAAGATGGTGTTCAAGTAGAGCCTCAGCTTGACCAGGAAATCGCAGAACCTTCTCTACCACAACCACACGATGGAGGGGATCCGTTTAGCTCCGATGAGTTTGCACCAGAACAGCACGGGTCGTCTTTTCCGA